TTATAACTTTGTGATGAGGCTATGAAGAAAAGAGGAAATGAGAAAAACATTTTTTCAAGTGTGTTTGGCCTGTGCCGTCCGGGAAGTAATGCCTGCCTGCAGGAGCCCTGGGGATGGCCTGGCAGGTTCTTGCTGGATGTTTGGTGGAAAATATTTCACACTGGTGGATGATCTCAGAGGGAAACAAACCTGGTGAGCACCAGTTTTCAGGACCAGAGTGAAAATCAGAGCAACAACAGCATCAGGCTGCTGTGCTGGGCTGCTGAGATCCATGAGCAAGCGGGTGAGCGTCCTGCAGAGGCTCCTGGGGGTGCAGCAACTGGCACAAAGTAGGAGCTTAATAAACACTGCATTATTGTTGCAAATGGACTATTGCTTTAGGTAGAATTACTCAGAGCTGTGTAGCATGCACTGGGTCATGCCAAAGACCGTATCCTGGCATCCGCAGCCCAAGCTCGTTTTGAGCATAGTAAGGAGTGATTCACCTGGCCCAGAAAGAAAACCTTTTTTTCTTGAAGAAAGATCATGAGAGCAGACAAGGCCTCCATTTGAAACCACCCCACGAAGCAGGTGTGGTGGCGAACGCCTGTAATCCCAGCACACCAGAGGCTGAGGCAGGAGGATTACTGAGAGTTCCAGGCCAGCCTGGACTGCACAGTAAAACTCGGCCTAAAAAAGAAAGAAACTACTCCATGAAGAATTTAATTTCTTAAAAGAATTTACCCCTTGGACTATGGGGAAATTTACTTTTGGTAAACAATTTAAAATTCTGGCGCACTCAGGAAGTCCTCCTGAAACATACTTGGCCAGAGATTTCACATCTAATCCCTGGATGGAAGATACACTTGTTTGGAAGTAGTAATGTGAAAATATAAACCAGTCTCCTGGAGGCAAATATGAAAGTTCAGAATTTCAGACAGAGATGTTAATGAGATTCTCGTGAGTCAGGAATACTCTGTTTATATTCAAAGTGATTGTATTGGTGAAGAGAATTTGTCAAATGTGAGAAAAAAAGATCTTGTTATTCCCAATTAAATACATAGTTGTCTACTTGACTTTCCTTTTAGTTAAAAGATATAAAATCATTTCACAAAATTATAGAATCTTTATGAGAACTTGCTAGTTACTATACATTAAATTAGTCTTTGTGATTTAAAGACCTTTGAAAGGTTAGCTGATCAGGTTAGGCCACAGAACAAATTCATATATACTGTTAATACTACCTTTTCAATTGTTTGATATAATTTGATTCATTGTAAAGGGGGCCTTTCGTTTAAAGGAGTCTGGTCTGTTGAATTTGAGTTGATTAAAAAAAAGCAAAATTCCTTTAAAAGTAATTTTTAGCTGGGCATTGTGGTACATGCCTCTAATTCCAGCACTTGGGAGGCTGAGGCAAGAGGATTATCATGAGTTTGAGGTGAGCATGGGCTACATAGTGAGTTCAAGGCCAGCTTGAACTAGCAAGACCCTGTCTTAAAAAAAAAAAATTCTTAAAATACATTAGCCAGACATGGTGGCACATGCCTGTAATTCCAGTTACCCTGGAGGCTGGGGCAGAAGAGTCACAACTCAGGCAACCTAGTGAGACCTTTCTAAAAGCAAATTTTACAATGGGAGAAGGGTCTATGTAGAGTGCTCACCTAGCATGTGTGAGGTCCTGGTTTTTTTTTTAAGTCTTAGATTTATAAATAAAATATTATTCGTGATGACATAAGGGAAAATAAATTTAAAATATAACTTTTATAAATTGAACTTTTTTTCTTTTGCTGTACTGGGAAATGAACCCAGAGATTAGCAAAATGCTATTACAGAATATTTTAGCACTCAGAATATCTGCCCCATACCCTATTTCCCACAGGGTGATATGACAAGGGACAGTTGTTTACCTACGCGTGCCACAGGGAGTTGTGTCACGAAGAGGAGATTTGGAGTTTAAACAGAGCAACTGGTGTATCTGCTTCTCTCTCTGGAGGGAGAGGAGGAGGAAGAGGACAGAGGGACTTTTCTTCTGTAATGTAAACAAATCCTCTCCTGGGAGGGAGTTTTATAACCCCAGACTATAAGCAAAGGAGAAGAAAAGGTTTTATTATTTTTAGAATGTGAGCAAATGGCTCCATAGAAGATACATTTCTTTTTTCTTTTTTTTTCCTCCTCCTCCTCTTTTTTTATTTTTTTGACCAGGGTCTGGCTATATAGTTTTGACTGGCCTTGAAGTCACTTTGTAGCCCAAATTGGCCTCAAACTCATAGTGATTCTCCTGCTTCAGCCTCCCCAGAGCTGGGATTACAGGCTTGTTCCACCATGCCTGGCATGTTCCTAAATCTCTCTCCAGAGCAATTCTCTATGATTCCAAAACATATTTGTTATCTATTATAAAACCACAGTATGTAAAAAGGAGAAACTATTTACAGAGAATTATCATTCAACAGGGTAACAAAAAGACTGGGATTATACCTTTATGGGTTAATTCCTAGAACCCTACACAGTGCCTGACATAGTGGGGAATTAATACAGATTTTCTGAATGAATCAAATATGTTTAAGGGGAGATTCACCCAGTGAAATGTTTTGTGGGTTGAGCCTTCTTTCTTTAATTTGTTACCAAAGCAATTTCTAAATTTGAGCTCTTGAAACTCCAAGAACATACATGAATAGACCACGATGCGAAGGCTTGTGCCTGTCACTGGTTATAAAGTGGCTGTCCACAGAGTGGCAGTACAGGGTAATGGTTTAAAATGCAGGTCTCGCTAGTAATCACACTGCTTGTATTATTTCTTAGAGTACAAAAAGGAACACAAAGCTTCAGAATTTGATAGGGAAATTGTGGACCTCCTGAAAGATTTTCTTAAACTTGGACAGTTACATTATCTGGTTACTAGTTGGCATGAAAGTTTTTGCTTTCCATTTCTATGTCTTGGATAGAAAATATAATTTGCCAAGCAGGACTAAATAAAAAAAAAAAAAAATAGGGGCCAGGGATATAGCTCAGCCATGCAGCCTGGCAAGCGTGAGGTCCTCGGTTCAATTCCTGGACCCCCTCAAAATAAATTAATTAAATTTTAAAATATATGTATATGTTCTGTTTAGCTGTCTTTTATGGCTTCTAAAATTTGTTCAAAAGATTTTCCTTATAACTCAGATTTTTATTTTGAAATAATAAATTTCCCTATGTTTTCTTCTAGTGTTTTTCTTATTACATTCTTCACATTTCATTTTTGACCCCTCTGGAATTTATTTTGGTGTAAAGTGTGAAGTACGATCTGTTTTATTTTCCTCCCAGATGGCTACCTAGTCATGAGAAATGCCACCTTCACCGTATTTTTAGAATTTTTGCATGCTTACGAAACACAATATTTTTTGCTCTGCTTTGACTGGTCTTCATATGCACTTTTTAACTCTCCGTGGGTTTGTTGTTAAAGTTGTATCTACCCCTCAACACGTCATCCCAACAAGACTTCATCTTCACTTCATGAATTTGTCTTTACTGTACCAAGCTCATTTCAGTTTAAGTGTACTGTGTGAAGTGCACACAGCCTTCAAATATTATGAACATTTCTCTCTCCCAGCTGTCACTACACCAAACTACATATGCTACATTTCCCTAAATCGTCTTGTTGTGCGCTTTGCCGCTCCGCACACTGTTGATGTCTTCATCTAACAGGTTGCTCAAAAGTTACTATAATTACTTCAGGTGAGGACTCAGAGGGAAAGCCTATGTCCCTATTCTGTTTCTCCCGAAATGGGCATTACCTTCTGTTTAACAAGAAGGACAGGTTGTGTTTCTGGAAAATAACAGATTTTGGAGAGTTATAGCAGTTATTATTTGTTGACCCTTTAAATAATCCCCCCCCCGGGGGGGGGGCCCTACGTGATGCCAGCTTTCATTGTGGGAAGATTTTACTATTTATTCCACCAAAATGATTCAGAAGGAAAAGGCTCACCCTGTACTAGGCCTTGAACCCGAAGAACTGTTTGCACAGATGTTCAGCCAAGATGCATGGCAACCTCCACCTCAACAGACAGACACTTTTGAAAACATTTCCTGGCTCTCTGCAGCAGTCATCACTGAAGGCGGAAGGAGGCCCTCAGAGATGGCTCTGCTGGCAAAGGCGGGCCCAAGATTCCTACTTAAAAGTAGAACCAAGCCGGGGATTTAGCTCAGTGGCATAAGCGCCTGCCTGGCAATCGAGAGGTCATGAGTTTGATCCCCGATACCAAAAAAAAAAAAAAAAAAAAGTTGAACTAGCTGAGCACTGTGGTGCACGCCTGTAATCCCAGCACTTTGAAGGGAAGGCTGAGGCAGGAGGATCTCTGCGAGTTCAAGGCCAGCCTGGGCTACAAAGTGAGTTCAAGGCCAGCCTCAACTGCACAGTGAAAGCCTGTCTCAAAAAGTCAAAATAAAATAAAAAATTAAAAAAATAAAAGCAGAACCAAAATATGTTTGGCCTCTGTTGTCTAAAATGTTAAGTGGGACCAACAACAACAAAAAAATTACTCTCCCTCTTAATGGGCTTTTGGTGTTTCAGTCAGACAGGAGGCGGCAAACATGAAGTTGCCCAGAACAGGGGGAAATCAAGAACATCGAAGTAGGAAATTGGATAGAGAAAGTTTGGAGTGCGGTTAAAAAAAAGGCTCAGGGCAGGGGGTAGAAGGACCCCCATATTTGACCTAACCCGGATTGGGGTAAGCATTCATCTGCACGGTCACCTCTAGCCCAGGTAAGCCACCTCGAGCCCTGCCTCAGAGTCCTCTTCCAGACATCAGCACCTCACTCAGCCCTTGGGGCGCCCCAACGCTCTCTCCCTACTAGACTCCTCTCCCCAGCATCCTTCTCTCACCCCTTCCGTGTTGCTCCCCTAGGTCCTCACTGGCCGGCTCCTCTAGGTTCCCAAAACACGCCCTTCATGTAAGTCCCGCCCCCATCACGCCCTCCATATAAATGAGCGCCCCGCCCCCAGACATGGCCCCGCCCCTCGATCATAGCCTCGCCCCAGCCATAGCCCCGCCCCACTCGGGGCGACCGTAGCCGCATCCCTGTTCCTTTGGCGCCAAACCCTTCGGTCCCCGAAGCGCGCGGGAAGCCGGCCTCGGCGTTCCTGTCAGGGTCAGAGTCCTGAGTGAAAAGCCCTGGCGGGGGTTGGGGCGTGTGGGGGAAGGGACGTGAGGTGCTGGCCTTGAAAACCCCGGGAAAAGTGTGGGTTGCGGGGGCGGCGGGGAGGCTGGCGTAACAGGGAGGGCAGGTGACGAGCCTGAGGTGAAAGAGGCGTGGAGGCCTTGTCGCCGGGTCGCCAGCCTGAGCAGGGCACTTCTTGCATTCCGCCCCTTCCCCCGCCTCCGCGCGGGACGGACTCCCGAGGTCCTGAGGGGTTTCCAGCCACCCGGCCAGCGCCAGCGTGAGCGTTGGGGCCTCTCGGCGTCGCCTGCGTGGCGTCTGAGCGACAGTGGCTCCTCGCTGCCTCAATACCCAGCGGGGCTGCGCTCCAGCCCCTGGCCGGTAGATTAGAGAGGATGTGGAGGGCTGAGCATGGTGGCTCAGCCTGTAATCCCAGCACTCAGGAGGCTGAGGCAGGGCCGTCTTTGCAAGTTCCAGACCAGCCTGGGCTACAAAGTGAGTTTAAGGCCAGCCTGAACCACATAGTGAGACCGTGTCTCAAGTGGAAGAGACCAAGAAGAATGATTGTAATGAATATGTTTTCTTGAGAGTCCTGAGATTTAAAAAGAATTTTTTCTCTGTAATGTTAAAGATTATTTACCCACCAACCCTAACCTCACACTATTGGGTATGCGCTATATTTTTACAAAAGCACAAAACTAGTAAATATGGGTAACAAAGTCTAAATACTATTTCATTGGTTTTGTTTTGATTTTTTTTGAGACAGGGTCTCCTCTTGTAGCTCAGACTGACCTTGAACTCACTATGTAGCCCAGGCTAACTTCCAACTCCTAGCAATCTTCCTGCCTCAGCCTCTGCAATGCTGGAATTACAGGCGCGCACTACCATGCCTGGGACATCATTTATGAAACAAAGATATTGCCATGTACCCAGAGCACTCATTCACAATCAGTAAGCAGGAAAGCATTTGTCACATATACGAAAAATAAAACCCTGACAGTGGACTAAGTTTGAGATGCTATACAGGATACAGGAAGAATAACACAGTCTCAGGATTCTTAGGGTGTTGTTAAACACAAACATAATAACAATAATTAATAGCAATAAGTAATTCTAAATAACATTACAATGAAGCAATAAAGATACTTTCAGAGTCATGATTAACTGCAGCAGAAAATCAGAAGATGTTAAAAATGAGGAAAGAGAAGAAACTAAATAAACCACACACACACACACACACACACACACACACACACACGTTACAAACCCAGCAGAAGGAAGATAGATCAGCTCACTTTTTCTAAGTAATGTTCCACTTATTGTCCTTTTGGTCTTTGGTGACTTCAAAATTAACTCAGAGGCAAAGAAATTTTACTGTGTGAAGGATGACTGTTTTTTAAATATTTCTTATTTTCTCAGAATTGGTTGTTTTTCTGCTGTTGCCCTTCAGTATGAAGGAGGATCAAATGCTGCAAGAGGAATCAGGATTCCAAGATGAAGAGGTAAGACTAGAATGCTGAAAGTTGTGTAGACATTCAGTCATTCCATAAAAATCAAGTTTCTTGTCTGCCAACTCTTATTTTTAGAACTGAAAGTAGAAATAAGGCATAATTTACAAATATGAAACAATTTCTTTGGCAAGGGATGCTAAGATTAGCTATGTAGCAACTGTTTTAAAAAAATTTTTGGAGGACTTCATGAATGCTAGGCCAACACTCCATCACTGAGCTACCCCGGAGCCTGGTAGGAAAGTATTTTAGTAACATAACCGGTGTGGCCATAGTGGTACCTGTGTGCACTGATGCTGAGAAACTGGTGCTGGAATAGAATCAGAATTTGGAGGATAGGGATATTGAGAAAACAATTTAAAAAGGTCAGATGGTGTTCTACTGTTTTGGATAAAGGTTTAAAAGATGTAAGCACCACCTTTTAATGTTGGTGCTTATAAATATTTAACCATGTGAATAGAACATTGTTCCCATCTCAGTCTGCCTGGAGAAGTAGAGTTTGAGGCATGACTTGTCTTGAATTAACTCTTTAAAATTATGAAACATTTGAATACAAAAAACCCAAAACTGACTTTTTTTTTGTTTCGTTTCCCTTAGGAATCTCTGTTCCAAGATATTGACCTATTACAGAAGCATGGAATTGTAAGTAGGTTTTCAATATGTTTTAAATTGTTCAATTCACAAATTTCTCAGTGTCAGTCTTACTTGATATTAATATTGGATAATTCTTTGTTTTGGGACCTGTCCTGTGCATTATAGGGTGCTTAACAGTATTCTTGTGTTCCAGAAAAACCCGTTGTGTGAGAATTTAGCCCCTCCAGGGCCTGAGACTGAAGAAAAGAGGCAGATTCATCCAGGATTTCACAGAGTGTGAACTATTGGGGAACTTACTGATGGAAATCAGGTCCCAAGTGGCAGCAAGACCAAGTGGATTCCCTCAGTCTGGGTCAGAGGGAGGGTCATGTATATTAGGACCAAAGAGACTTCAAGCCAGAATATAACTACTAATTTATTTATTTAATCAGACACAGGGTCTCGCTATGCAGATCAGGCTGGTCTTGAACTCATATGTATTACAGGCTGGCCTCAAATTTGTGGTGATCCTCCTGCCTAAGCCTCCCACATGCTGGATTATAGGCATGCGCCCTCACACCTGGCTATGCCTGATTTATCCTAATGTAACACCAAAGAGCTAGGCACATTCTAGACTCCACTGGTACAGCTCCACGTATCACTCTAGTGGTTTGCTCTACTTACGTTATCGTGGTGCACTGTGTGGGAAATAATTAGTATTACTTTGGGGAAGTCATGATGGTTATGACTTGAGATGGTGGTAGTCATGTCAAACTGTATGCATGCAACTGGCTTCTATTCATTCGTTACCCGCTAGAGGCGCCTTTCCAGCTGAGACAATCAAAAATGTCTCCAGACACTATCAGATGTACCTGGGGTCAAGCTGGTCCCCGATAAGAACCACTGACCCGATTGGAGTAGTTCAGAGGGACCTATGAACTCGTTCCCCATCTTCTTATCTATCTAGATCTGCTGCCTTCATTCACATTCCTGTTTATTGGTGGCTGGAGTGGAGGATGGCAGGAAGTCAGACTTAAGTAACAAGCTAGCCGGCTTTCAGTTGCAACCATTGGTAGTAAGACTCGTCTGACCTCCTCTGAAGCCCTCGTAATTAAACTCTTCCTACTGATTTCAGAAAATAGAAACAAGAGAGAATCCCAGTCTCTTGGTGATGCAGTTCTTTGCATCTTCCAGGAGCAGAAGAAGAAAAAAATCCTTTAAAATTTTAGAACACGCTGGTAAAGAAGTTCTGTAGAAGGAAGGAGCTGAACTGAGGGGGTGAATGTGTGTGATCAGTGTGTTAGCTTTTCCCCCAGCTGGCACATTCCTTGTTACACTGCCATGGTCTCACTAACATTCTTGGGAAATCAGGGCACAGCCAGAACATTTGGCAGCCTGCTGGGTATGTTCTACCCAGCTATTTCAAGAACATTTGGCTTCGTGGTGGGTGGGTTCCACCTGGTTGCTTGTATAAAATTGGCCTCACGATGGATGGAGACGGACATGAAAGCACATGACTTAGTATAGGCGCATTTTGGGTGGAATCTTATCAATCTGCCATGCCTGTTCTTTTACTTCTAGAACGTGGCTGACATTAAGAAACTGAAGTCGGTGGGAATCTGTACTGTGAAAGGGATACAAATGACAACAAGAAGAGCCCTATGCAACATCAAAGGTCTCTCAGAAGCCAAGGTGGATAAGATTAAAGAGGCTGCCAACAAACTTATTGTAAGTAAAATCTATTCTTTGCTGTTTTAGCTTAAAAGGGTTTCTGTGGGTCTCTCATTATGAACATTAGGAACTACTATTAGGACCACAATATACTATACTCTCCGTGCTAACTTTTTATCACTTCACAGTCAAAGTAACCGCAATCAGTTTGTGGGATATTGAGGTAGGGAATAGAGCCCTGGAAGACTGAAGGACTTATTTTTACCAAAACTTTTTATTATTTCATCTGGCTTTCTGTGTCTCTGACTTTTCTTTTGTCTGTTTGTTTTTTACCTTCCTCCTCCTTGCTTTTGTCTTCTGTCCTCAAATAGACCAGTGATTGCTGTAAATCACGTGGTATCAAAGAAGTTGCTCTCTCCTGGCAGAAGCTACTTGATGAGCGAGCATCGAGTTAGAAACAGACTACCAGGGTCGGGTCCACGTGTGTGCAGTTGAGATATACACAACCTCAGATTTGTTCACTGAAGCACTGAGCTAAAGTCACCCCTATCTGGGCCCACAGACTGAGCAACCCATGCAGCTGGCAGGCTGCTAGGCAGAAACATAGGTTTCTTACTTTAGACCTCAGCTTTTAGAGATCCTAGAGTGCCAGTTCTGGAAATGGCAGTGTACACAAAAGTGTCACCAAGTCTCCTGTCTGTGACCAGGTCTCTTCTCCATTTGGATGTGTGGATTTCATTCCCAGTGCATCTGGAAGTTTTCTTGGCCTTTGGTTTCCTTCTTCAAAAATGGTTGCAGAGTGATGCAAGCAGCAGTGTGGTCCTGAACTTGGAGAGGAACCAGCCGACCTGCTCTGAACCCAGCCCCGTGGGTTAGCTTAGTGTATCCACAGGTCAGGTCTCCAACTGTCAGGCTGATTAAGTAGGCCCTGGGGCAGCAGTCAGGGCTTGGCGTTGGGTTTCCTGGGCACTAACGTTTTCTTTGGAAAGCAAATCTTTAAGAAAAGAGCCCTGGCTTTTGCAAGCACCGTTTACTGCACTCAGTCTTACCTTTTCTTAGCTATTGTCAAGCCTGGGCTTGCTCTTTCCTCCCCCAAGTTCCACAGAATTTGAGAACCTCTGTCATGGTATGAAACAACACAGAGGAAAACACGTCCAACTCCGTCAGGGTCCACTTGAGCCAATTCCATCATTTCATCAGCTGTAGCTTATTAACTCACCACATAAATAAGACAATCAGTCATGTGAAATTTTGTTGTGAATAATGAAAACTGGAATTTCTATGCTCCTTAAAATTTCTAGAGCTGGAAAATAGTGGTGTTGAATGGAATCATTGCGCCATAAACAATATATTTCATTGAATGTTCATGGCTACCATTTAAAGAAACACTGTTGTTATCCTCTTTTGACCCAAAAGGGAAAGCTGAAGTACCGCAAGAATTAAGTAGTTTATTCCACCTCATACAACTAACAAGTATTGGAGGTACAGTTTGAATGTGTGTAAGCTGACTCCAAAGTCCCTGTTTTATTTGTTTGTTTCACTTTGTTTTGTTTTCTTTTTCTTTTCCTTTCTTTTTTTTTTTTTTTTTTTTTTTGGTACCAGGTATAGTATCTTGCAGGCAGGTACCATACCACTGAGCTATGTCCCCAGCCCCAAAGTCTCTGTTCTTTATACTAAATGACAACTTTAATAAAGTAGAATATAGCTTTTGGCATTTGAATTCCAGTTATCATCTTCCCTCCTTTTTGATCCTGTGCTTTATCTTTCCCCAGGAACCTGGATTCCTGACTGCATTTGAATACAGTGAAAAGAGGAAGATGGTTTTTCATATCACCACCGGGAGCCAGGAATTTGAGTGCGTATCTCACATTTTCTTTTATAACCACTCAGCACAATTTTGGAATGCCATATTTTCCTTTATCTGGTTGTTCTTTCTACTATAATTGGTAGAAATAGCTGCTTCTTTAAAAATAGTTTGTGATTTTTTTCCCCCAAAATGCAAATTGAAGCAGATTCTATACTGCTGGCAGAAACAGGATCAAATTTCTTCCAAGAAATTCTGACCAAAATACATGTGGTTTCTGGACCAGCCTATATTAATCTAAAAACTTTTATTTTTTTGAGGCAGGGTCTTGTCATGTAGTTCAGGGTGGCCTTAGCTTACTATGTAGCCCAGGCTGGCCTCCAACTCACAGTAATCCTCCTGTCTTACCTCCCAAGTACTGGGATTACAGACATGTGCCACCGCGCCTGACTCTATAAAAAATCAGTTTAGCTTTTCATTTCCTTCCCTTCTCCAGTGATGAAGAAAATTTTAATTTGCCTTTTGGCTTTACTTAAAAATCAGCTGTTAGACTGAATATTTTAGAAAAAATCCAGTATTGGTTTCATTCTTCAGCAGGGACAAGTTTTATTTATTTACTCTCTTAGGATTCTTGAAACACATTATCTTCTCCCCCATGCCAACTGAGCAGAATGCATTTTTCCCCTTGTCTAGACAGGATTAGTCTCTAAGCTAGAATATGACCAAGAAGTATTATAACAAAAGCAGTCTTTTCTAAAAATATTCCTGAAGGCTGAGGATTTAGCTCTTGCTAGCAAGGATTTAGCACTTGCCTAGCAAGTGCGAGGACGTGAGTTTGATCCCTGGTACAAAAAACAAACAAACAAACAAAAAATTGCTGAAAAAATGCATCCATTTGGATTTCTATTGGGCAGATCAGACTTCATAGGTCCAAAATGAAACTTCTGTTCTTTCCCTCAAGTCTGCTCTCTTTGAGGTTCCTCATGTCAGAACTTTTTCCTTAGACATAAAATGCCAGAGTCTTCCTGGGTGTCTTCCTCCCATACACACACACCTTTATTCTAATCCTGCAATTGGACAGTGTACTATATGTTTTTAGAGAATCACATTACACATTGGCCTAAAAAGGCTCTATAAAATCCTGCAGTAAGGAAAAAACATCAGTTGAACCCAGAATTGCTCTAAACTTTTAAAATCACAGAAGCTTTTTTTTGTTTTGTTTTTTGCCATGGAAAATCCTGTCCCAAAACAAATTGATCAAAATCAAGCTGATCAACGAAATATTTGATTCCAACATTTGACATTCTCTAGTTATTCTAATTTACAGTAGTTTAAGAAACTTTGGGCTAGAAAAATTATTACAGTTATGAGTTTTTTGGTGTCCTTCATGTTTGCTTTTGGAAACAAAATAAATTGCTAAGGAGCTAGGTTTTTAAAAACTAATAACTGAGTCATTAAAATGTTATTCGTTTTTCCTTAGGCTTTCAGCGCATTTATAAATCTAGCAGATTTTAAAAGGACTTTTATACTATAGTTAATAAATTCCCTTAAGCATTTTAAATTAAACATTTAGTGTATAATATATTTTATCAACCTAAGAAGAAACCCTCTTGAATTTTCTGTCTGTGTTTTGGGTGCTCCAGAATAAATGAATTTATTTGGAAATAGCAAAGAATTACAGTTTGGGGTATACTCACTACGGCCACTGACATCCAGGGGTCTGGGAAAAAAGGATCATCTTTTGATAGTCTTGTTTTGGCATGGATATGTGGCTTTTTTTCATGGACTCCCTTGACTCCATTATGTAAGAATTTGACATAAGTGACTCCATTTTGACACTGGAAGCTTTCATAATTTCCTTTAAGAACTTTATTTGTCTAATTTCTTAGTTTTTATTTTCATTTTGTTTTGTTTTTGAGACAGGTTCTCACTATGTAATTCAGGCTGACCTTGAACTAGGTAGCCCAGGCTGGCCTCCAACTTGTAGCAATCCTCCTGCCTCAGCTTTCCAAGTACTGGGATTACAAGTATGTGCCACCACATCTATCATATTTGTCTAATTATTAACAGGCACATCTTTACAGTTATCAGAATATTTTCTGCAAATCTAATAAACTTAAAAGTATAGTGAGACTTAGATACTCATAAGTGTTCAGACATGGTTGATAAACTTAGTTATCAATGTAAAAATGACAGATCTTGCTGGGTAAGGTGGTACATATAAGTAGTTTATAACCCCAGCTACTTGAGAAATGCCCCTGGATTTGAAATAAATAGCTATATAAATATATATATGTATACACATACACATATATATGTATACATTTTGTATACATTTCATATAAACATATAATCATCCAGAGGTTATTTTGTTATGATAAAGAATTTGTCTTAGTTACTTTCCTTGTTGCTGAAACAAAATATCCAACATCCCCAAGTTAAGGGAGGAAAGGTTTATTTAGCTCACAGTTTATAGAGGTTTCAGTCCATAATTGGCTGGCTCCAAGGCAGGGTGGCATGGCAGGCATCACAGAGGAGAAACAATTCCTCTCCGTAGGTAGCAAAACAAGCAAGGGACACGGACATCCTTTTTATCTCTTATATTTTATCTAGGGTACTTAGAATAGATAGCACTCATTTATTTATTTTATATATGTATATTTTTTTTGTCTTTTTCCTTTTTATCGATACCGGGGATCGAACTCACGACTGCCTGCTTGCAAGCCAGGTGGTTATGCCGCTGAGCTAAATCCCCAGCCCCCGAATAGATAGCACTCATATCCATAATCAATCACACACTCCAGAGTCAGCCCCCTCTGAAAAAGCTCCACTTATGACTGCATGAGGCTTTGGAGGGACATCTAGGTACAAGTCATAACAGAGGCCAAGTACTCTTACACTTTAAACAAGCTCAGATGTCAAATATGCACAGACTATTGCCAAATTTACTGTGATATTATAATCTGGGTTGGATTTGTATCATCATTTTTAGTCTCCCTAGATTCAAAAATATTACATCTATATCTAATTCTAAATTTTCCTGGGGCTGGGGATTTAGCTCAGTGGCATAAGCGCCTGCCTTGCAAGCAGGCAGTCATGAGTTCGATCCCTGGTACCGATAAAAAGGAAAAATACAAAAAAAAAAAAAAAATTTTCCTGAGTTATACAAAGAAGACTATATTATCCCAAATACTTTGGGGTATCCTTGCAGGCAAATTTGGGGGTTACGTTTTCCAGCTTATTGACATTACATATCACCTATGAATTTTGTCTGGTATTTCCCAGAGCTATAGACTTTCAGGGTGAATTTTCTCAAGATGAGGAGGGACAAATAAAATTCACTAACAGTTGCTTAGCATATTCCTGTCTCTAAGTGTGTGATCTCTCAGCCCATGTCTTTTAGATTCTGCAGGTCAGTATCAAGATTTTCTTTGTTCATTGTAATCTGCAGGCTTCATTAAATATGTGGATAACTTCCAATTTTTCTTCATTTAAATGGCTTTCTTAAACCATGTAAATGTAAATATATTGGGTCATATTTCTATCTGTGTTAAGCCGTGTCCAATCTGTACTTACATCCCCAAAGACATGCTAATAGAAATTACGAAGGTTTTAAAAGTGCTCCTACCATCTCTTAGCACAGTTAACATAATATTTAATACATTTAATGAATGAAAGAGATCATAACTTAAATTTTGTTCTTTTCATATCAAGAATATTGAATGCACTGAAACATTGGGATAGCAATTAAATGTACGCTGTCAAAACCTAGCAGTTACTCTTCTGCTAACATTACCTGTAACATCTTTGAACATTTCAGTTCTGACATGTTATCCATAAAATTTAATATATGTGAGATAAATCACATATGGTGACAACTACTGGATTCTTCTGACATCTCTTTCATATGTCTCAGAATATTAAAAATTGAATATTTAGTTGACTTAGAAACATTATTCTTGCAGGGAGTTTAGCTCAGTGGCACAAGTGTCTGCCTGGCAAGCACAAGATCATGAGTTTGATTCCTGGTACCAGCAAGAAAGAAAGAGAGAGAGAGAGAGAAAGAAAGATTATTCTTGCATAATTTGAAGTACCTAATTAATAACTAAGACCCCTGGTCTGAGGGAATAGCTGTATAGCTGTGCTAGAGCACTTCCCCAGAATTTTACAAGTCTCTGGTGCAACCCCTAGCACTACAAAACAACAAAAACTCGAAGACCATGTATTTTAATTCCAATTCTCTTCAAAAGAATAGTGGCAGGGGCTGGGGATTTAGCTCAGCGGCATAAGCGCCTGCCTTGCAAGCAGGCAGTCGTGAGTTCGATCCCCGGTACCGATAAAAAGGAAAAAGTAAAAAAAAAAAAAGAATAGTGGACAGAAGGTCTTATTAAGCCCTTCATCATTGATACCCAGAAGTAAAAAGAACTGGGCTCCTTAATTGCTTTATTTATCTACCCTATTCAGTAGAACCTGTGATCTGAACAGAGTGAGTGTCAAGAATTCCTGTTCCTGTTGTAGAGATAGATTGATAAGCAGATGAAACAGATAAGTAAATGATAGGTTACTAATTCTATGAGTGCCTTCTCCTTTCTTGATATGTATTTCTATCCCTGTTACTAATGCTTTCTTTCTATTTCCAGTAAGTTGCTAGGAGGTGGAATTGAAAGCATGGCAATCACAGAAGCTTTTGGAGGTAGGCAGAACCTTAATATTTTGTTTTTGAAATTTTATACACACATTTAGTTGAATAATTAACAAATCAGTTCCTGTTTTGGAAGTTAGGATGAAATCTCAGTTATATGATGCAGGATCATTCTGAGACGCCATGCAAATAAGTAATAATTACAGATGGAGGATAGTGATGTTTTATCTTCGCATCTGTGATTGCAATAGAAAGAAATAAATGGTTTTTTCTTATTTTTCCAAAAGGTAACTGAATAACAAGGCTAATCTTATGCCTAAGCAATTCAAATTCCATGGACACAGAGATGAGGTTCTCTTTACTAATTATATCCTCTATATTTTTAAACAATTAATGTATACCGTCTTATGCACCACATCTAACAATTTTGTATTTGAAGTTCTCGGGGAGCTAAATGCTTTGTCATTTCTGTTGATTTGGGGAATTAAATCTGCATTTGGTCTTTTTGTGTGAGTGTGGTGCTGAAGATCAAACCCAGGGCCTGACACATGATAGGCATACGCTACGGCACTGAGCTATACTCCTGCTCTATTTTTCATTATTTCTGTTGACTCAGCTCAGTGCTAGTGACCTACTTTTTCATGTATTTATTGACATTTGCAAGCTTATTCTTAATTTTAATCTATAAACACACAGTGGACTTAACTGGTAGGTGGAGAAGTTTTTCTATAGAAAGAATTTTCTCCTGCTGGTAACCAAGCAATGCTATCAATTTGAGATTGCTTCAGCTCCCCCTTGAGGATCTCATTTCAGAGGTGGAGCCCCAGGCCTGCTCTCTTATGGTGGGGATCCTAAGCTTTCATTTACATGATTATTTCTATGGCAGATTTGCTTAAATTTTTATCTAAAGGACATATTTGTGAAAAATATCTTTTTTTTTTTTTTGTCTTTTTCCTTTTTATCGGTACCAGGGATCGAACTCACGGAGCCTGCTTGCAAGGCAGGTGCTTATGCCGCTGAGCTAAATCCCCAGCCCCTCTTATTTTTTATTATTGATATCAACATATACAGAATCTATCTGTAGATCTAAAAGAGGTATTTTAGGAGTGAGAGTTGACAGTTGGAAAATAGTTGGAAATAGTAAGACTCTGAGGTCATATTTTATTTTTATAAAAATATCTAAACTATGCATTTTTAAAATTACCTTTTCTGTATTTCACAGAATTTCGTACAGGAAAAACTCAGCTCTCTCATACCCTCTGTGGTAAGGACACATGGCAACAACATAATAATAACAGCCATCATAGCTTTCACTCAGCATCTGTGTACCCTATGCCTGACATTTTACCTAATCTCATGTAATCTCAACAAGTTTGCAAGAAAACTCAGAGGTTAAGTAACCTGCTCATGGCCACACAGATTCAAGAACTGGTTTTTGAATGTGTGATGTCCGAAGTGCTATTATGTGTACTATACACCGAACACCTGAGTGAAAATAGAAGGTAAGCAGGTGTACCAGTGTGTGGGCTGGAGAGATGTCCACAGCCTCAGTTTTTCCCATTCCATCTGTTCTATCTTTTTTACAAGAATGACACCTCCATGGAGGCCTAGAACCCTTTACTTTCCATGGAGTAAAGTGGAATCTAAAAGAAACTTAATTTTTTTTTCTAAAACTAAGCAGAGATAGCTCCTTTTTTCACAAAGACATTGCTTTGCATTTATTTGACTTAAGTAGAAGAAATATAGCAAAGTGTGAAATACAAGGTTCTGGAATCAAAATGTCTAACGCCTGTCTTCCCTCTCCTTCAGCTGTGTGACTTTGGGCAAGCAGTCTTTACCCCTTATTTGCTTCAGCCATAAAATAGAAATAATGCGAGTGCCAAATCTTAGGGTGACTTCGAAAAATAATGCAGGTATTCGGTATGAAGTACAGTGCTAAGTGCTGCAACATAAAACAAAAACAAATGCATTAAAAATAACCAACATTAACTGAGGTAACTTAAATGAGTCATATAGCATAAATTATATGTGTGATTCTTTCTCATAAAAATAAAATTAGTAATATTTAAATTCTGCTTTCATTTTTGGGGGAGAACTTACTTCTGTATCTCCCATTGCTAAAGATACTGAAATTTTTGTTGAATTACAACTATTTTGGCAGCACATTTAGTATTTCACCCACAGGTTAATAAGATGAAACTGCAGCATGCTGTTTAGAAACTAAAAGACCATTATTTCTTGCTAAATATACTAAAGAGTTGCAGCCAGCATAAATTCAGTGTTGATTTATATATTCATTTGTACACAATGCACCCACTCTTACGAATTTTTCTCATTACTCCCTAGTAACAGCTCAACTTCCAGGAGCAGGTGGCTACTCAGGAGGAAAAATTATCTTCATTGATACAGAAAATACTTTGTAACCTTTTTATTTAATAAGTTGTTACATAGTGTGACATAGTGATATTACTACAAGATAGTTTGCTTGAAATACATTTTTGTGAATACTCCATAACAGAAGCAATCATGAGAAAAGCCAAGGGGGGGACAATTACTGGTCAGATTCTCGAGTCACTTTTTATTTAATATTTTACTTCCCATGGGTTTGGTGTAAAACTGACAAATACAGAAGAAAAAAATGATCCTTTCTTATTCTGTTTGTTTGTTTGACACAGGGTCTTACTAACCTGAGAGCCTCCCAAGTGCTGGGATTCCAGGCATGTCCTGTCATACCTGGTTATTACTGTGTGTGTGTGTGTGTGTGTGTGTGTGTGTGTGTGTGGTGCTGGGGATTGAACTAAGGACCTTGTGCATGAAAGGTAAGAGCTCTGCCACTGACTATTTTTTTACAATGTGCCTGGGGTTTATTATTTATTTATTCAGGCAGGGTCTTGCTATGTAGCCCAGGCTGGCCTTCAATTCACTATGTGGCCGAGGCTGGTCTCAAATTCACAGCAATCCTTCTGCCTCTGCCTCCAAATGCTGGGAGTACCACTTCTAGCTCTTAATCATTTTTTTTAATAATCATTGATCTTCCTTCCTTTGCCTACTTTTAATCTTCTTGCTTTTGTAAATAGAAAAAGAAAAAGATTATTAATTCAGACTCATGGTTTCAAATAAAGGGAAAAGTATGAAGAGAGCAAAAGTACAGGAAGAAAAGGTCAAAGGCTGTTTGGGTCACAGGAAGACATGCAGTTTGATTAAAATCAAGGTATTCTAGAATACAAGGCTAGATAGATAATTTAGGTCTTCGATATGAAGGACTTTGACATGAGAGTAGGTGTCACTGGACCCTTTTGTAATACTGTAGGCAAGTAATGACAACTTGATCTCAGTTGGAAGCAGCAAGAACAAAAAGAAAAGAACAAGAAATATTAGAGAGAAAAACTGATAGGACTTAATGACTGTATTTGTAGACAAAAGAATGAGAAGCTTGAGGAACCACTGTCAGGGTTTTGGCCTAGATACCAGGAGAATATTAACACTTATGATAGAATTGGAAACATTATATTTCAGAGAAAAGCGATGTTTGCTTTTCGATGTTTCTTTTCATTTGGTGAATGTGAGACTCAGGAAATACAAAGTGATAGCTGCCCAGGAACAGTGGAGCACATCTGTAATCCCAGCACTCAGAAGGCAGGAGGATCACCATGAGTTTGAAGCCAGGCTGGGCTACATAGTGAGTTCAAGGCCAGCATGAACTACCTAACAAGACTCTGTCTCAAAAAACAAATGAAAATGACAGCTGGAAATGTTGGACTCCACTTGAGAAAGGATAGGGGCAGGGATATGAATGAGTTAAGCAAAGGCGAAGAAAGAGTTTAAAAGAGAGAAGAGGAGAACTGGCAGCCTAACTTTGACGTGTGCTGTATTTAAGAGGACTCTCAGGCTGTGGTGGCCCAGGACGGGAGCCAGCGACCGACCTATACTGGGACCCGCGCCATGTTGGGACCTGGAGCGCCAGGAAACCAAGCAACCTCTCCCCACCCATTCCCACCCCCTGCCTGTTTTGTTTTGTTGAACTTCAGTATACATGAAAGTATGGACACAGCTGTTGTGAAGAGAACAAGAGACTCTACGACAGCCATTGATGACTTCCCTGTTGTCTGGTTTTGAAGACCTAAAACGCCTTCCTCATTCTGTTCAGATCAGTTTTATACTATGTTGTTTTGTATGAAATCTCTGTATGTGAAGATATGGACAACTATTTGGAAGAAAACAAGAGACAATATGATAGTGAAGATCTCAGGTCGTCTAGCTTTGAAATTTATATCTCTTACATTGCTTATGTCCTATTTTGTTCTGTTTTGTTGTGTTTAATTTTACCCCCTTTAAAATAAAAATTAAAATTAAAAAAAAAGAGGAGGACCCTACACAGACAAAAGAAGTAGAGGAAATCTGCTTGTGGAAGCCAAGCTAAAGGAAAAGTTGGGGGGAGGAGGTGTTAAAACAGTTTTTATTCTTTTTTTTTTTTTTTTTTTTGTCTTTTCCTTTTTATCAGTACCGGGGATCAAACTCACGACCACCTGCTTGCAAGGCAGGTGCTTATGCCGCTGAGCTAAATCCCCAGCCCCCCAGTTTTTATTCTTAAAAGTTAATATGTGGATTATAGGAAACAAAAACACAAGAAGCGATATTTGCCCCCATAAGCAGCTTAGTTGGATATGTCCTTCTAGGTCTTCATGTACATACACAACACACCAAAAGAAAGCTTTAAGGAGAAAAGAATAGTTGGTAATGAAACTTTGGAAACTACAGACTGAGAAATATCACTAAAATTACAAATTGAGTGTTGAGGGAACATTGTAGTAGGTTAGGTGATGGAGAATTTGTGATTTTTGCAAACACACAGTCAGGGAGTAAGGCAGTATAGACTTGGCCAGGGGATGGAAGAAGAAACGCAGTAGTTGGAGGAGGTACCAGGTTTAGAGGAAATTCTTTCTAGTAGTAGAAAGACCTGCACAAGTTTACAAAGCCATTCACAGTGAAGTCCCAGCCTGCTTCTCTAGGCTTATTTCTCTCTGTTATCACTACTAGAAGAAAAGAGATAAATATATTCTAAAGTAATCTAATTTCCTCTAATTATAGTCATTAAAATTTGAAAACATCACATATCAACAGTTATTTAAACTAATTTTCACCAGGCATGGTGGCGCATGCTTATAATCTCAGCACTTGGGAGGATGAGGCAGGAGGATTGCCACAAGTCTGAGGCCAGCCTGGACTACATAGTGAGTTCAAGGCCAACCTGAACTGTACAGTGAGACCCTGTTTCCAAAAACAAAACAAAATAGGTCCCTCCAGCTGTCAAGACAAATTCTTCAAGGCAGGCGCTTATGCCGCTGAGCTAAATCCCCCAAGACAAATTCTTTCAGGACCTAAAAAATAAACTAATTTTCATTTTCTTTGTACATTAAAAAATTCTTTCTTGTATTTTTGTTTTGCTGTAGAACCTACTTAAGAACTTCTTTCAGAAAATCCAGATTGAATGGGCCTGGTGGCATCCACCTGTAATTACAGCGTTCTGAGAAGTTGAGGCAGGAGGATTGCAAGTTCAAACCCAGCCTGACTCTATTAATTTGAGTAGTCCTAGAGAAATTTGCATGCTGTTTCTATCATAGTGAGTTGTTGTTCCCTTTATCCCCTCTGCAGCCTTTTTGAGTTATATAAACCATTTAAACTTCTCATATCTAATTGTCTCTTAATTACCAAATTCAGAAAAAAAGTCCTTCTTGATCTATTATAGAATTTACTCTCTAAAATATTCATGTAGACCCCAAGCTCAGTTCCTGACACCTGTAACCCCGGCACTGAGGGATGCTAAGGTAGGAGCATTGTAAATTCCAGTCCCTATGGGGATCTTAGTTGCCGTACTCAGCAAGACCCCGTCTCAAAATTGAAAAGTGGAATGCGGATGTAGCTCAGTGGCAGAGTACTGATAAATTTGGCCCTCGGTACTAAAAACAACAACAACAGAACTCCTATAGAAGAAAACCAAAGAGCTCCTTGTAAAGACTTTACTGGGAAGTGCGAGGCTAGCAGACAGGCTGTGACTGCAGGAGGAGGGTGGGACGCACAGAGCTTTTAGCAAGAGGGCTCCAGTAGAGTTAGGCTGCCTTCAAAGAGAGTTGTTAAGGGTAATTTTAAAGAGAGGGATTGTTCTTGCAGATTGACAGCCATGTCTGGGCAATTTGGCTTTTAACAAGGAAAAAAGGGGAAGTTAGAAGCTAAGTTATACGGGGCTGGGGAGGCGCTATGACAAGGCCATAGTGAAACATTCTCATTCTTTCTGTCAGGATCTGTCACACACAGAATTCCGGCTCTTGATATTTCTCCTCTTTAGGTGTTTATATTTTGTCTCTTTATGTGTTAAATTTACCCAGGGAGTAGATAATCTTATTACTCTTTATATCCTCCAGTGTTTTGCATTGCTAAGTGGCTAATATGGTAATCCGTACCACATGGTAATCAGTTAGTAAACATTTATAGATTTGAACTTTTCTATAATTCAGCTTCCACACTCCTGCTCACATAGTATCTAGGTTTTGTAGAAACAGATAAAGTGAAAACATTTTTATTTCCTCTTCTAATTCTAATTTTCTTATCCAGCAAAGCATCTATTGAATATATACTCAGTAGCAATGGAAAATTTTAGTGGGTATCACTGAAGCTCAAACACAAAAACAGGGGCTGAGGATTTAGCTCAGTGGCACAGCACCTGCCCGGCAAGCATGAGGTCCTGAGTTCAATTCCCAATATCCAGCAAAATTAAATGCATACATGACTGGAAAATCCCAAAGTCATTCAATTCAACACTTATCTAACAGGTTGCAAATATCACAAGAGCATAAGGACTGGGGGTGTAGCTCAGTGGTAGAGGATTTGCCTAACATGGGGAAGGCCCTGGATTTGATCCCCAGCACTAGGGAAAAAAAAAAAAAGACTAGACATGGTCTATACTTTACAATCACTTATAGTCAGTGTTACTTAAACAGAGTAAACTAAAGTGAAATGGAATAATAGATACACATTTATATTTCGTTGTTTCACTTTGGGCACACTGTTAAGATCATCAAACACCTAAGAATAAAATGTTCACGGCTCTTTTGTAGTTCATAGATACTACTGACTATTAGCATATTTTAAAGTATCTCCTCAGATATACTGAATTTGCCTCCTTATGAATTTACTCATTTCAGAAATCTAACTCCTTTAGAAGAGTGGTTTAAAACTGTATATAAGCTGGGCGTGGTGGCTCATGCCTGTCATCCCAACACTTGAAAGGCTGAGGTGGGAGGATCCTTGCGAGTTTGAGACCAGCCTGGGCTACAAAGTGAGCTCAAGGCCAGCCTGAACTGCGTAGTGAAACCCTGTCTCAAAAAAAGACAAAAAAAAAAAAAAAAAAAAATGTATATAAGCCAGAAACTGTGGGCTGGTCTTTTTCTCCTAGACCTGGGCTGAGGATTTGGCTCAGTGGCAATAACACCTTCTTGACAAGCAGCAAGTTGTGAGTTCGGTCCCTGGTACTCTCGAGGTTACTTTTTGACCTTTTGGTTCATGTAGTTGAATTTATCCTTTGTTGGCAACACATGATTAATGGTATAGTATGTGACTTGTTCGTTTGTTTGTTTTTTGAGGCAGGGTCTCACTTTGTAGCCCAGGCTGGCCTCAAACTTGTGCCAGTCCTCCTGCCTCAGCCTCCCAATTGCTGGAATTACAGGCGTGCTCCATCAGGCCTGACTCTTAACTATCTCGTTTTCAAAAGATGAGGAGTATGAAGAGTGAACTCTTTTAAAATGACTTGAATTATAATTTAGTGATATTATCTTTCTAGACTAGATCTATTTTTAGATCTGAGAACTGAGAACAAAAGAGATTCACAAACCTTAGCTTCTACTTTTTTCTTTTAACTATTTAATTCATAATCCTGAATCATTTAAAGCCTAATATGTTTATCGGTGTCCTTTTCTGTAAAATGTACTACAGATCTTTTAAGCCTATTTTAAAGATTTTCTTTTTTTTTTTTTTTTGGGGGGGGCAAAAAAAAGTATGAAAAGATTTTCTAATTTACTACTTAAATTTATTACTATCGATTTGTATGACCCTAAGGTAAACTCAGGCACTTAAAAAAATAAAATCTGGTACAGACTTTAAGTAATTACTGGCATCTTTCAGAATACCTTTGCAGACTTTTTGCCTCAGTCCTTAAAGTATTACATTTTGTAGTTCTCTAAACTTTTTTGGATTTGATGTACTGGATCTTTAACCTTGGCACACTCCAGTCGTCCAGATCGCCTTCGGGACATCGCTGATCGTTTCAACGTGGACCATGATGCAGTACTGGACAACGTTCTTTATGCACGTGCATATACCAGTAAGAGCTCTGAGCAAGTGAATGCTTTGGCAACAATGACTTACTCTGAGTGACAACACTTTCAACTGTTTTTCTTCATTTTCTTTTACTTTTCTCCAAGTCAGTCCTCAAATTTTATCGTTTGTTAAGCCCTTAGATGCTAAAATACTATATTCTCAAATTATTCTTTATCTTTGAAATGCTGAGTAGCCGGGCATGGTGGCTCACGCTTGTAATCACAGCATTTAGGAGGCTGAGGCAGGAGGATCATTGTGAGTTTGAGGCTAGCCTGGGCTACAAAGTGAATTAAAGGCTAGCCTGAACTGCATAGGGAGACCCTGTCTCAAAAAGACCAAAAAAAGAAAGAAAGAAAGAAAGAAAGAAATGCTGAGTAATGTTCTGTGTGTGTGTGTGTGTGTGTGTGTGTGTGTGTGTGTGTGTAAGGCAGCAGTCATTGTTAAATAGTAAAGCCGTGAACAATTAAGACAGCCCTTCAAGGGCTTCTTTTCCCCTGACTCCCATGGACATAAATGATCTTAGCCTGTTTATGCAGGCTTTTGTAACATTTTCTTACTGCATTTCCCACGAGGTGAACATCAGATGGAGCTACTTGATTATGTAGCAGCGAAGTTCCACGAAGAAGCTGGCATCTTCAAATTGCTGGTATAGGTTTTTAAATACAGCTCGCTTACAGAGCTATTTAGTAGATTATTCTGTTGATTTCTATCTACATGAACTTATTCCTGCCATTTCTAAATGCATGTTTATTTTTATATTTATTCTATGCAGATCATTGATTCAATAATGGCACTTTTCCGAGTGGATTTCAGTGGTCGTGGGGAGTTGGCTGAACGACAACAAAAACTGGCCCAGATGTTGTCAAGACTCCAAAAAATCTCAGAAGGTAGAGCTTTAAAATAAAATGACACTATTGGAACAGCACCTGTGATTATGCTTGGTTGCAGAGAAGCTTACAATAATGTCAGAAGTTAATGGTTTTTAAAGTTACCTTCAAGGAAATGTATCTCTTTATTTTAAACAAAAATTGATTCTGGCCTAATACTGATAATAATTTTAAATGAATTAATTTACATTATCAATAAAAATAGGAATATGATTTTTATAAAATAATTTTATAATATTCCTAAATACCCAAGCAATGAACTTTATATTTTTATTGCCCATCTCTTAATTTTTTAACTTTATTTCTTGACAGAATACAATGTGGCTGTTTTTGTGACCAATCAGATGACTGCTGACCCAGGAGCAACTATGACGTAAGCCTCAATATTTGCTTTTTCACAGAGGTTAATCTATTTTACAGAGGTTATTACCAACACGGTTAAAGTGTAGAATAAAATAACTTCAAAATAATCAGCCTTGGTAAGGGCACAAATATATATTACAAATCACTGTTGCACGGTGTGTATTACTTCATAAATGCAAGTATCACCTATTTATTATCCAGAATCTATTTTTTATAGTTATTTGTAGAATAAAGCAATAGTTTAATTATTTCAGCAGTACTGTGGGCTATATTTTGCTTTAAGACTCAAAGGATGTTGGAGGATAGTGGGGAAAAGACCCAAGGGAAATAAAAATTATATTCCTGATACACAAGGGGTTTCTATCACACTGATAAGTGGTAGCCTAAAAAACAAAAAGCAGGCTTATTCATGTGATAGCCTTGAAAAAGATACCAGAGAGAAAGTCTTCTGCGTGGAGAAACAGAATTGCAGTCTGCATGAGGCATATTCAGAATTTGCTGAAGTATGCATTCACATACCAGAACTACTGACAGCTCTGTTTGAAAGGTGGCAGGAAAGTAAGTAAAAGGCAAGGAAGGCTCAGACAGGATAGCAAGAACAGAAAGTTCTACGAGACATTAGCTGTCATTCTCCGACACTTTGAGCTTTATGGGTCTGAATAAGCAATCAAAATAACCCTAAGTTAATGCTGCTTCTCAAAATATCCTTTAAATAACTTTTTACTTAGAAAAAAATTTAATCAGAGAAAAGTTGTAAGATTAGGACAGTGAATACATATCATTTACTTAGATTTATCAATTAACATTTTATCACATTATTGTGTGCATGCATATATATGTGTACACACACATATATATCATTGTTTATATAGTTTAGGAGATATTTTCCCCCTAACTGTTCAGAATTATTTGCAGTTACCATGACACTTTATCTCTTAATAGTTTGGTGTATCTCTTCTAAGAACAAGAATAGTCTCCTACATCACCACGATATAATTGCCACATTCAGGGAATTTAACACTGTATCATATGTAGTGTTGTCTAATCTGCAGTTCTATCTGTGTCTCCAATTGTTCCAAAAAGGTGCTTTATAGTTGTTGGCGTTTTTTTGTTTATTTGTTTTGCTTTGTATTTAGGAGTGATTGAGAAGCATGCTTTGCATGTTAATTGATGTTAGTCTCCTTTAATCAGAACATTCTTCAAGCTTTGTTAGACTTTTTGATGCTGACGTTTTAAAGAGCAAACCAACTATTTTACAATATCCTTCAGTTTGAAATCAAGTCTTTTTCTCGTTATTTGAAACTATTTTTTCCTTTTTGGCACAGGGGTTTGCTAGGTAGTTCAGGCTAGCCTTGAGCTATGTAGCCCAGGCTGGCTTTGAATTTGTGGTAATCTTCTTGCCCCAGGCTCCCTAGTGCTGGAACTCCAGACATGTGCTACCACATCCCCTTATTATTTGAATGAAGTCTTAAATCATTTTTTTTTTTTTTGGTAGCAGGGATCAATCTTAAACATTTTTAATAGAAAAAATACATAAAGGATATTATGGTCTCCTCCTTATAGCATGTCAGGAGGCACGTGATGGCAGTTTGTCCTATAAAGATAACTATGATCATGTGGTTAAGACGATTAAAGATTAAGATGATGAAAAAAAGATGGTATTCATGAGATTTCATTGTAGAAGACACAAGAATTCCTTTGGGAAATTAATAATTTGTGGGGTGATACTTTAAGACTGTGAATACCTTGTTCTGTAATAAGCTTCTACCATTTATTTCAATATCCACTGAAGATTCTTGCCTAAGTCAATTATTGCTCTAATGGTTGCGACACAAAGTGATATTACTTTAGAAGCAAGGCAATTCATCCTGTAATGGCAGATAAAATGAGTCACAGAGACAGGTGTTGGAAGACATGTGCCACACTAACATGAATTCTGTAAATTGTGATCAAGCAAATGTGCCTGTCTTTAGGCATTTTCTAAACTTGCCCTCACAGCATTGCTGTATTTTCTGCAGTCTGATACATCTCTCTCTCTCTCTCTCTTCGATGCCTCTTACACGCATCTACTTAAGTATAAGAGATCCCAGTGTGAAAATATTAACTACAAATGGTGTGTAAAAAGTTAAAAAGATTTAGGAGGGGACAAGGGTATAGCTCAGTGCTCAGTGTTGTGTACTTAGCATGCTGTGTGTGCCAAGTCCTGGCTTCAACTCCCAGCACAAAAAAAAAATTGATGAGGAGAAAATCAATCATATCAATCATTCATTAACTCAACAAACACTTATTACAAACCTACTATGTCACTGGGTGTGGTGACGCACACCTGTCATCCCAGCACTCAGGAGGCCAAGACAGGAGGATCGCTGTGAGTTCAAGATCAGCATGGGCCACATAGTGAGACCCTGTCTCAGGGGGGAAAAAACCTACTATGTGACAAGATTCTGGGAATTCACTAATGAACAAGAGATAAAAACCCTTTCCTCCACAGAGAAAAGTAAATGGTGTCCATGTAACTCAACATTTTAAGTCTCGGTGCATTGCATATACTAGTATAGTCCTTGAGCGCTTGAAGGTAGCTTTCTTTTTTGTGGAGTGTCTCATACCCAGGACATGAAGTACTTCACAAAAAGCATAATTTTAAACTGAAGAGAAATGGAAGATTTTTAAGGCTCGCTTTAAAAAGAGAAAATGACTCATTGGCTCAGAGGGAGGAAGTGGGTTGCATACAATAAAAACAGCACAAGTTAAAGAGCAATGTTCTCTCCTCAGGTGCTGGGAGGGAGCAGCGACAAGGCCAAACTGTCACTCTGGAGCTAGAAGGCAGGGGAGGGAATCAGGGAAAATTAGGTCAGATGGGGTTTTTTTCCTTATGTTTGTAGAAAGTTTCAAAAAGAGTAAAACAATTTCAAATTAACTCCTGTGAGACATGAGAGGAGAAATGGAGAGGTGACAGAGAGAAAACGATTGAAGAGGGTGTTAGACAGGGGAGGAGACATGTCATTAAGAGAGCTAGGGGAAAGCCAGCCATGCTAACCTAAGGCAGGCAGGCTTTGCTGAGCGAGGCTGCTGTGAGCCTCTCCTCTACCTAGCCGCGTGGTAAGGAAACGAGGTTCAGCAGTTATAGTATGTTCTAAAGAATATTACATTATAACAGGTCAGATTAAATACCTCTTCATGAAAAGCACCGAAATTACCACATATAAATGGAAAAAATCAGGACAGTTTTAAACCAAAGGATTTCAGATGCTACTAGAAAACCTCCTATAAAGAAAGTATCTTTGTTTCTCAGTGTTGAGGAACTTCAAGCTGCAGCTTGCCTGGGGCCTGTCAGAGAAATATCACTATAATTGGTACGAGTCCCCAAGTACGCTGACAATAATTGAGGCTTATATCCCATGCATTACACTTGATGGCACATCGTATTAAAAAGGAACAAAATTATAGAGGCGAGGAGCTGCCTTATCATACAGCAGAACAGCAGCTCCTCAGTGAGGCTTCCAGACACAGATTTTAGAGCTGAGCAATCCAGCCGATGAAGGCCTGGAGATAAAAGTCAAAGTAGCAGACCAGGAAGCTGTGCACCAAGAACCCTAAATAAGACGTTCTGTTGTCACCTTCTTCCTTGTGTTTGTTTTCCCAAAACAAAAATTCATCTTAGAACATTTGCAGTCTTATAAATTTGGTAGGACGTCACCTACCAGTTTACCTCATTAGCATGAATTAACAGGTCATATGTGTAGAGAAAAAATATTAAGCCAGGGTCAAGATGGGGACCCTGTGCAAGGCCTCTAAACTATCTGAACTGCAGCCTCTCCTGCCCTCAATTCCATGAATTACACCTTATATTATTCTCAGTGGCCCTGATGTAACTTAGCTTCCTGGGGCTTCTCTGTACTTTTTATGAAGCCAGTCTCAATATACAGATGCATTACTTCCTACCTCCAGAAGCCCCCAGAATTCCATTTCAAAATATTGAAAACCATAGATTTCCCCCCCTCCCCATATTTTGGGAGCAGACAGAGGGAAATGTTACTTAACAAAACTTCTTAAACATACTCTTCTTTAAAAAACCATTTCTTCACTCACCCAAAAATTCTTCTTTCTTGGCAGTGCTCCCATCTCCCCACATTCCCCTGTTCTCAAAGCCTCCTCCTCATTCTTGGGCTAGTTCATTCAGCCTTTCTCTCCTCAATGAACCCCTTCTCAAAAATCCCATCTGTAGTCAGAGGCACCAGGAATGCCTATTGTCCCTCTGCCTTGGCCTAACCTGTGCTCCTGAAGGTTCTCATCCAGACCAAAGGTTGAGGTAGGACTTATGAATTTTCCTGATTTATAACAGTGGGAATGAAGGCTCAGAGTACTCACTGCTTGTCCAGCCATACAGTTCAAAAACAAGGAGGCCAGGCCAGGGATGTGGTGGTTCAGTGCCTGCCTGGCAAGTGCAAGGCCATAAGTTCGATTCTGGTACCCAAAAAATAAAAGGAAGCCAGGCCTTGAAACTAGGTACCTTTGATTTCAGAGCTGATGCTCTTTGATTGTTACTGTACTATCCTCCCATTCCACCCCATGCTATAACTTGACACTCTGTGACCTTAGCATTCTAATGTAAAGTTAGGAGGCCAGGGTATCCAGGCTCCTACCCTTGAGGATATACCACTCTGTTCAGCCAGAGAGGGGAAAGGGTTAATCTAGCTCAGTCTCTCTTTACTCCTGATACCCTCCCCGCCCCTTCTCCTCCTCTTCCTCTTTCTCTTCTCCCTTCTCCTCCTCCTCTTCCTCCTCCTCACTGTGCTCCCAGTCTCCTGAGGAAGAAGGAATAGAGAGGAGAATAAAATACAAAAGGAGAGAAAATAAGTGAATAAGCTAACAGAGGGTTGTGGGTGGCTTTCTGATGCTGTTTTAACTTGGTCAGAAATAGAAATAAATTAAAGCCCTCCACAAGAATGTGGAGTGCTATTACACCTTCTTGTATTTCACCTCAAGACGTGGTGAAGTCTGTGAGAATAGTCAGAAAGTTTGAAGACCAAGAAAAGAAAACTTTAAGGTTTTTGGTCTACATTTCACTCAGAGAGTGGTTGTTCAAACTGAAGCATTTAAACCGTGATAGTTTCCATTTATTGAAGAGCTCTTATGTGCCAAGACTGTGATAAAAATAAAGTAGACATGGTTCCTGGCACATAGTAGGCTTCCGATGAATTGCATTAAGCATATCTTGATTCCTCACAACATTTCTAAAAGGTAAAGTCTTTTTTACTCCCATTTTACTGTGAAAATAACAGCAAAAACAAACAAAAATCCTGAGGTTCCATCCCTGGTACCAAAAACAACAACAAAAACAGCTGAGGTTCATAAAAATAAGTAGCCCAAAGTAAATAGATAGTAAGTTTTGAATCAGGATTAAGAAAACAAATAATAATAATTATAATCACTGAGATAATTTGCCTGAATTGTTTTGTCTTGTTCTTACAACCTCCTATCAGTTAGGTACAGCTGTTGTTCCTCATTTAAAGTGAAGAATGGTCAAACAGTTTTCCTGAGGTCACACAGCCGACCAGGCAGAGGTTGAACTCAAGTCTAGGCCCAAAGCCCATCCACCAGAGTGCATCTGACTGGCACACTGTCCCCTGGGGGTGCAGGCATGTGTCTAGTACTTTGGTGAACTGACCACAAGTCATGGTCTCGGCCTCAAAAGCAGAGGTTTGATTTGGTCAGCCTACTGAAAACCAGTCCATTCATCAGGTGCATTAGGATGAATATAAATCCAGAGGGCGAGTGTACTGATAAGAAAAAAATGTAGCTGTAATTGGATTTGGGTGAGCCCTTAAGACCATTCTCACCCTGTAAGTAGATTCTTTCAGGATCCAGAATTTAAACTGTAGCTACTTAAAGTATGGAATCCAAGCAAAGGGAAATAATTGGATGGCTTAAAATAAAGTCTGCCATACAGTGAGGACTCAGTAAATCTTAGGTACTTGTATTAGTATTATTCACATATACCAGCAGGGATTGTGATTAAGAAAACAAATAATTATAATCACTGAGATAATTTACCTGTGCGCAGGGAAGGTCATGAATCTTCTCAAATGTAAACTATTATAACTATTATATATATGTATATGTGCATTTTGCTGGAAGAGAGTCTATATCTTTTATTGAATTATCAAAATATTAAAGGAACATTAAGAGACATATCAAAATTCTACACAAAATTCTGAACATTTTATGGAATAAACAAAATTCGAACTGACTTGAAATTCTCTCAGTTAAAGCTATATGCTATTGCAACTGCAACCAGAAACACTGAAATGATACCCAGATTTGGAGGCAGGTTTATTTACATCGACAGGCACAAATTGGGATCAAACCCAAAATATCAGGCCCTGGTTTCTGGTGGTCTGGGGTTCATCTGAGATAAGCAAGCAGGAAGCACAGAGGCAGGATGGCTTGTCAGTTGGGAATTGGCTTAGGGAATGTGCGCCATTGTGACCAGCTATGTGTCACAGTGAGCAGCCGTTTCTAAGAGACAGGAGCAACCAGAACTGAACAGGAACTATTACCTGGGCAGCTAAGAAACTGAAGTCTACTGGCCTGGCCGGGGGGTTCATTTTCTGTTACACGGTGTCACTATCTTGAGTAAATATAACTTCTTAGTTTATGGGTCACTGTTGAAAACTTTTTGATCCTACAATATCTTTCCTGTAATTCTCGTAACCTTTTTGCAAATCCTATCACTTATTCCTGCATTTGGTTCATCTCCTGTTGGGGATAACATTCTTGACATTCAGGTTCTTCACAGCGTAATCAGTGACAGCAAACTGTCACTCGGAGAATCACTGCACAGTGTTGAGAGATCACCTGTGACAGGCACTAACACAGCTGCTTAAACTTCTCTCTGTCCCTGTAGTGAACCCTGACTGTTCTTTCTAATCTACTCTTGAAGAAATTTCCAACTGGTTTCCATTGTATTTGTGTTTAATTTCTGCGAGAGCATTTATCTTTCTACAATCCAATATTCTCTTTGAAAAATGTTTTCTCCTTGAAATTTTCATAGATTCCTTGTCTTACACCCAGGAAACATGTCTGAGCAAAAACAGTGTAGCTGGTTGCTGCACAGTAAGTTCAGTGCCACTGACTCTGAAGCCGCTTAGTGAAGGGAATAGACTGAGGAAGACAGTAAGGCTGTGAGGGGAGAGTGAGTCAAAGTACCAAAGGCAGATCAGGCAAAGTACATTAGAAAAGCGGAAATAAAATGGATTTGCGGGGGGAAAAGCATAAATCATTGTAGCCTCAGAGTTCACAGCCCAGTTACAAACGCCATCAGGGCCTCAAGTAGCCTGTTGCTACAGGGCAGGTTATTTTAAGATCATGAAGAACCACCCATACTAAGGTAACCTGGAAAATTTAGAGCCACTCTGTTAAAAAGAGCGGCATTGAGCTGTGAGTGTTATCAAAGCAGCTCACCTCTTTAGCTGTTTTATCCCACTGAGATGGCTTTACTGCCTTACTGTACCTTCAATTGCCTGATAAAATGACCCAGCCTGCTGACTATCTCAATTCCTTCTCTTGGTATGTGGTTTAGGCTGACCTTGAACTCACCATATTGCCCAGGATAGATTGAAACTTGGGGCAATCCTCCTATCTCAGCCTCCTGAGTACTGGGATTAGAGGTGTGTCCACTATGCCTGGCTTCCATCTGCTTTTCATTTACATAGCTTCATGGAAAATGAGTGGGTGATTCTTTTGTTTTGTTTTGTTTTGTTTTTTGTACTGAGAATCAAACTTAGGACCTTGTACTTGCCAGTCAGGCACTTGTACCGCTGGGTGATTCTTATTCATTAGATTAGAATAATACCTAATGCATAATAGACCATTAAAAATATTTCTGGTGAATGAATTATTTGTATTTTATAAAGAACATTTTTCTAACTCCAAGAATTATCTTAAGACAATAAATAATATTTTCTGTGTGTTTTTAAACAGTACTTTCTTTGTAAAATGTCACGTAAACATGAACTATTCATCATAAGAATCTTAGAAGTCTAAACTAGGTGGCAGGGGTGTGCAGTGGCTCCCAGCCCCAGCCGCCCTCCAGGGCTCGGGAACAAGCCTCTACTCGTTCAGAACACACACCTATCCCAGGCTCCACCCTCCTCCACAGAAACGGCGCCTTGTCATTACTAATCTTGCTATATATAGTCCATATCATGGAACCCGAAAAGGTGTTTTATTAATTCAGCTTTCAGGCAGACCCGAAAAAACCCATTGGGGGGCACATTCTGGCTCATGCTTCAACAACAAGAATAAGCTTGCGAAAGGGAAGAGGAGAACTGAGAATTGCCAAGATTTACGACAGGTAAATATTTTCTTATTCTTCATCACATTCTTGTGCATGTGGTTGCTCTTGAGAGGCTATAATCACTCCACTGGCAGATGCTATGCGCTTGAATTTCCTTCTCAAAACTCATGCAGTGACCAGAAAGGTCCTACTGAGTGCAGGGGGTTTCAGAGGTTCTGTTGGCACACATGCCTCGTCCCTGACCTTTCAAAGCCCGCAGAGAAGCTAGATAATGAAGTCACATCAATTCTAGTTAAAAGGGAGGCAGGTTCTGAGGAAGTATAGAGTATGGGAATATACGCTCTTTTCTCTTTGCCAGGTTAACAACATATGCTTTTCAGGTTTCAGGGGTTTTGGTATGGTTGGTTAGTTTTGGGTTCTGAGACAGGTTTGTACCACATTGCTCACACTGGCCTTGAACTTGCTATGTAGTCCAGGCTGGCCTCAAATTCATGATCCTCCTTCATTAGCTGACCAAGCACTAAGATTATTGGTGCATGTCACCTTGCTCAGCTACAAGTTTCAATTTAAACATCACTGTCTCAGGGACCCTTTCTCAAACCATTTTTAACAGTAAATTATCAAGGAAGCTAGTTATATTGAGTTTCCATAAACTTGAATCAATATAGCAAAACTGGACTGGAGCTTAAAATATCAAAATCTAGTTTGTCACACAGCATATACCATTTCCTGCTGCTCCCTAATGATTTCTTACACAGACTTTTCCTTGACTTGAGAAAAAAGATTTTACTTATTTTTGTGGTACTAGAGATGGAGCCCAGGGCCTCACACAGGCTGGGCAAGAACGCTACCACTGAGCTACACCCCTGGCTCTATTTCTTTTTTTATTTTGAGATCCGGTCTTGCTAAATTGCCCAGGTTGGCCTTGAACTTTTGATCTTCTTGCTTTGGTGTTCTGAATAGCCTAGATTACATTTGTGCATGACCATGCCCAGCTCGAGAAAATTCTTTTTAGTAGAAAAAGTGGTAATCCTAATAATAATAGCTTCCACTGAGCCACTACTTGGTACTAAGCCTTGCTCCACCTGCTTTATATGTAGTGTTTCATTATCACTAACAACTCCGAGAAAGAAAGGCCGCTAGCTCCACCTTGTACAGGAGGCAAGTGAGGCCCCACACAGTTAGGTAAACAGTGTCCATCTACATTCATTTTAAACCAGAAGCCAGAGTGAACTTTGTAAAAGTAAGGTCACGTCTGTCCTCTGCTTACCCTCTGGTTGCCGTCTCAACCCAGAAGGAAAGGTGCACATGTGTACACAAGGGCCTCCATCCATAAGCAGGCCGGATGCCCCTGCTGGAGTCTTTGCACTTGTGGTCCTCTGCCTGCAGTAGTCTTTCCCGTGTGGCCCTCTGCCCGGTAAGCTCCTGCTTCCAGTCTGGTCAGGTGTCACCTTCTCAACAGTGACTGTCTTGACCCACCGATTTAAAGTTACAACTGACCTCTTCTAAATTCCCGCACATCTAATCTCCCTCACTCAAATATTTTTCTTGCACGTAGCACTCATTTTCTAACATAACACATGGTATATTTATTGTGTCTACTACTCACTGTCTATGTTTCCTCTCCCCAGATGTAAGTTTTCAAGGGCAAGGATCTTTGTCTATTAAAAAAAAATTACAATTCTCAAGTGCCTGCAATAGGTCTATAGCATGTGCTCAATAAATGTTTTCATAACAAATAAATGCATTATGCTACTTCATACAACAAATGAAAGGTGGAACTAGGTTTAGAGTCTGAAAAGAAGGAAAAGTAAACAAAGTGCGACAAGAAGAAAAATCTGAATCTAAAACCTATGTGTTTTAAACATTACACTATTTCCTACTTTAAAGAATGCTCTACTTAGAGGTGTCGTAACTAGTTCATTAGAGTTACTCTCATGGCTACAGTGATATCTTTAAATAAATATAAATGAAATAGATGTTTTGCTAAAAGAAAGCAAAGAATTCTCCGAAAACTGAGCAGAAAAGCATTCTCAGAAGAATTTCCAGGTATGAAGGAGTAACTATAAGAATTAAACCAGAGTTGGGTGTGGTGACACACACCTGTGATCCCAGCACTCAGAAGGCTAAGGCAGGGGGTCACTGCCAGCTCAAGACCAACCTGGGCTACTAAATGAGCTCAAGGCCAGCCTGAACTGTATAATGAAGCCCTGTCTCACCAAAAAAAAAAAAAAAAAAAAAAAAAAAAAAAGAATTAACCCAGTCCTAGGTTGGTATGGTAGCACAGGTCTATAATCCCAGCACTCAGGAGGCTGAGGCAGGAGTATTGCCATGAGTTTGAGGCCAGCCTGGGCTACACAGTGAATTCAAGTGCAGCCTGAACTATATAGCAAAACCCTGTCTCCAAATGTAACAAAGCAACCCAGTCTAGACTGGGTGTAGCTCAGTGGTAGAGCATGCATGAGGGCCAGTTCCCAGTACTACAATAAAAAACAAAATTAACCCAGCCTTTTCATTAAATGTCACATGGTTACTGCTCAGTTGGACACTTCTTTCTCTTTCAGACTTTTAAATGAGCAAATTAAAATCCCACTTATCCTAATCCCCTTAGCGTATCTAAAATCAACAGACATTATAAAAGATTCAAAGAAGAACATTTTAAGTCACTACCAGCAAATAAAAAGACACATAAATAGTTAAGTTTCTGGAGTAATTGCTTCTGAATCTGGGTTAAGGACAAACAGAAAACTACTCTTAGTTCAACTCTACAACAGCTTTCCACGCCTTCTCTCTTTGCAGCTCCAGGCTGCCCCCAGAGAGTTTTCATTCTCCCTTCTGCCCTCTGAAGTGAAATGAATAGTTTCCAACAAGGCCAAAAAATTGTTTTGTAATTCCACGTATGCCTTCTTACTGCAGTTTTAGCCCAGCAAGAGCTGACTATACACAGGCCATTTGCTGTCTTCAGAGGAGTCCCCTCTGCTGTTTCCTAGGGAAACAACCTTCCCCACCGTGCACTCAGAGGCACACTGCCCTTCTCCACCCTTCCAATAAAACAGCCTGCCACACAAAGTCCAAGCAAAAGAACTGACCTGGCATGGTGGTACAAACCTGTAATCCCAGCTTTTCAAGTGGCCAAGGCAAAAGCATAAAGTTCAAGGTCAGCCTGGGCAATTCAGCAAAACCTTGTCTAAAAACTATAGACTAACAAAAAGGACTGGGGATATGGCTGATTGCTTCCTGAGTTCAACCCAAGCACTGCCAAACAAAAGCTTTGAGAAGCAATACGATTAATAACATGAACTGTGGAGTGAAATACCTTGGTCTCTAGTTGTGGTCAATTCATTACTATATGAAAAAACTAATACTGGGTATTAATAAAGAAAAGGGGTCCCGAGAGCCTTGAAGTGAATGGCCTCAGGTAGGGGCCCGTGTGAGGGAAAGAGCACCTCCCCAACCACAAGCCAGAGAGTGGCTGGGGGCCAGGCTCAGGCTTCCGTGATGGCTCGCTCCCTGGGACTGTGCTGGTCCCTTCTGCAGCTACACACCCCGCTGAAGGCTGCGGCTCTTCTCCTGTGTCTGACACCAGACCAAGCTTCTGACCCATGAACCCTTCAGAACCAACCACATCCAAACCATAGCACCTGGCATCTTCACTCACCAGTGTGTGGTCGTAGGCAAAATGATTCACCCTGAACTCTCGTCTTTTCATCTGTAAAATATGGGCAATAACACATACCTAGTGGGGCAGGGGATTTAGCTCAGCGGCATAAGCGCCTGCCTTGCAAGCAGGCAGTCGTGAGTTTGATCCCTGGTACCGATAAAAAGGAAAAAGAAAAAGAAAAAAATACATACCTGGTACAGTTGTCGTAAAGTTCAAGTGAAATAATATAAGGGAATCTGACTCCTAAACATTAGCAAAGTTCTTTTAAAATGGCAGCTGACGGGTCACCATAACATGGATTTAATAACAGCACAAAGTAGCAGTTGGGTCTCTCTCACAGACAGTGGTCTTCAAATTTCTATTTCTAATTTAATCTTTATTCAGGTTTTAAAGGATTATTACAGCTATTTGCAGAATTCCTTTATATGAATGTCCCACAGGTACCTCCAGCACAACACTCCTTAACATAACTTATTTGTCATTCTTCTTGTACACAAAATAAATTGTTCTATTCTTGTATTTTGTTCACATCATTATGTTTTGCTGGAATAGTCTCATTTCTGCCTCCTCATAGGCATTTTTAATTTACCTTGGGTTTTTTGTTTGTTTGTTTGTTTGTTTTGGTACCGGGGATTGAACTCACAACCTTACATTTGCCAAACAGGCACTTATACCGCTGAGCTAAGCCCCTGGCTCTTTAATTACTTTCTCTGAAACCTTTCCTAGTCAACCTCACCAGGCATCATGTCTCCCTTCTTAAAAGTTCTACAATATTTAAACTGATTTTGTGAGACAGTGCTTACTTTGAATTATGGCATAGAATTCGGCATATTTGCATTGCTGTAGCTCTCATATGGACTTAGTGAGAACAAAAACCCTGTCTTATTTTTATGTAGTCAGTAGAGTCTAGTGTATGCTAAGTATGATTTTCAAAAAGTTAAAAACTTTCCTTGCTTGCAAATTAATATAAAGTGAACTTGTATCAAAGATTTTATTCAACTACTTAGTTATTGAGGAAACCACGAATTCAAAGGATAATTTGAGGAACAGAGGTTTATATAATTAGTCAAAGGCATGCTGAAATAAATCTGCTGCATGCAAACCTGGTTAATACCCTATCAGGAAATAAATTGCAACTTTCCGTTTTGCTGAAAAGAAATCTGTTGCTTCTCTGCACAATGAAATTCGTTTCTGTTGCTGAATTCTGGAATCATTTGTCTTGCTTTCAGACAGAATCATCTGCTATTGGTTTTCTACAAATTAACCTTCACTCTACAGTGCTGTAGAATAAATATTAAAATTTATACTTGACCAATACTCTAGTATAAACAGAAAATGTCAAAATTTATTTAACTTATTAGTTACTAAAGAAATCAATAAGATTCTATAACCAAACCAAAAAAAAAAAGTATAAACATTTGACATACATGTTCTAATAAGGAATGCTGAAATGAATTATAAATTGATAAAAAATGAACCAATGTCCGTGGAACAGTCATCAATGCATTCCATTTCACACAATTTACACATTTGTGGGCAAGATTAATTTGCATTACACTTAATTAGCTATAACTTACAAAGTTATGAAATCTACCAGACTCTGGACAGCACAGAGCCTCCTAGAATTGGAGAACCGGAAGGTCACGCTAGACAACGTAGTCTTTCCATCGCAGGCTCTCAATAATCTTTGCTTTCCTTCCAAAGTCATTTACTGTTTCTCCTACATGAGTCTGGTTGGAGAAAGGTACACAGCCCTGCAGAATCAGATAAGCTCCCAGGGTCCACTTGCTTTCTGACACCACACTGAAAGAATATCTGGTTGTCTCTTGTGCCTATTTCCAAGTTTGGGGTAATGTTCCTCTACATTCAGAACCTCACAGAGAGAACTTGTTAAACAACTGTTTGTGGAGGTTAATAATACTTTCAAGTAAACTCTGCAGTTCGCATTTAGCTGTACCAAATCTGAGATGTCTCCGGAGACTCAGACTGATGGGAGCATGATGCCTGTGACATGAATGCAGTATTTATAGAAACGGGGCTTTTTATAAATTTCTGTTCCCTTGTATTCTGTTAGCCCCGAGATGCCTGAAAATGAAGCCACCTTCGCAATAACTGCTGGAGGAATCGGGGATGCCAAGGAGTAGGTGGTGAACTGATGCAAATTGCTTCTCAGTGCTTATTAGGAGCTGAAGAAATGGAAGAACAGGCTTGACTTTCAGATCGTGAAATAAGAGTTTGGTTTGTTTCATGTTATTAAAGGAAAGTTAGCAAAGGCAAGTCAAACCTTACATTTAGCTGCCCTTTTGGAAGGCTAAAGAGGAAGTAACTAGAAAATGCACAGTTTGGGACCTGAGATATTGCTCAGTGGTGAGAGCACTTCCCTAGGCATCCTTGGGCTCAGTCGCCAGCAGTGCACTGCAGGGAGAGAGAGATTATAATTTTGCATTATAAGGTTGGCATGATTTTATATTTTAAGTTTTGGGTAGGTTTATTCAAAATATTTTAAAAATTCAAGTTAATTCAATGTAAAATTTCTGAATACTAATTTTAGAAATGTTTAAAATGATGTTTTTTCTGATTGTTAAAAATAAAATCTAGTTTTCAAAATGTCATATGATGGGCATATTTGCAAATTAAAATATTAGCACTTGAAAGGCTGAGGTAGGAGAATTGCAAATTCAAGGCCAGCCTGGATTACAAAGTGAATTCAAAGGCCAGCCTGAACCACACAGTGAATCCCTGTCTCACAGAGACAATCAATCAATCAATAGTAAATATTAGTGATACAAGCGATGATAATCTGTGTAGTCTTCAAAAAGCTTTGATGTTGTGTTAATTTATACAAAAGCACCGTTTGCACAAAAGGTATTTGAGGCTCGGCTGCTCCCTAGTTGCTCTTGAATGTTAAGTGCTGAAGAATATACAAAGAAAGCCGGTTCCTGCACCACAAAACACACACATTAGTTAAGAGGAAAGACTAGGAATAAGAGGTCAGTGATTATATAACGAATGTTGGCCTCTAAAGAAAAAGCCTGAGAAAGGAGAGCAATGCAGCGGTGTGAAGCCACAGCAGGGACAAAGGAGCGTGCTGACGGCGACACTGTTGTCCACAGTGGCACAGGCTCTGGGGAAAGCCACCGGTTTCCTTCCCTTCCACTTTTTGTAAAGCACAGAAGCTGCTTCTCTGAAAAAAGCAGAGATAAAACCTGAGCAGATTTTCGGTACGCTGCAAAATCTCATAAGTGAATTATGTTAGTATGTAAATATTAAGGCATACTTTTGTCCTGGAAAAGGGAAGATTTTATTACTTAATGCACTGTGTATATTTTCTGCAGATTATATTCTTGACATTTTTAAAAAATCTTCCTAGCCAGGGAGAGACTGCCCCTCCTGGACTTGTCCATTTTAGGGACAGCTGCAAAGGGCCCACCCATGCATGCTTTTCATGTGCAGACTAATCCAGTTACAGCCGGACCACGGCCCCTGTGCACCCAGGCACAGGTCCTCCTCCGGCTTTATCGCCCTGCTGACTGGGGACCCACCTTCTGCCTGGAACTGTCCCAGCGGCCAAGCCTAAACTGATTACCCCAAGTGTCTTGCCCTGCCTTGTTTCTCCCTCAGAAACTCCACTAAAGGATGAAGGTCCGAGGGCTCCCCTTATGCCTGACCACCCTCATGTTGTCCCATGTGACCTTCCAGGCACATGGGGTCCTCTGGTCTAGGAGCTAGACGGGTACTAAAGTTTCCCTCTCTCTAATCCTGTCCTGTGTTCCCTCCTGCAGCCACACCTGACCAAGCAGCCTGCCAACACATAACTTGATACTGCAGTTTTCACACCTCCCGGGATTAAAAACAGCACCTCCTAGAGAGGAGCTGGTACTGTGTGGCCGGATGGGACCTGAGGAGGTCCTCCCAGAGGAGACAGGGCCCTTAGCCCGTCCCACCTCTACCATCCACCCATGGAGTAGGGCTCACTACTCTCAGCACATAAAGGCATTTCAGCATGCATCAGTGTGAGGCGTAGGTAGATTCATTAAACACAATCAGAGAGGAATGCAACCAGAAAGCTGCGGGTGCTGGAGGGCAAGGCAGACCGTGGGCTAGGGCTGGGGTGTTTGCGAGGTCTTGGGGTAGCCTCAGATGGATGATCTAGGGTATATGTTCCCCAGTGTCTGTCAGTTTACTTATTACTGGACTAGGTTAAAACCCAAACTGTTCACATGTTTGTTTGGTTTTGGTACCAGGGATTGAACTCACGATCTCGTGCTTACTAGGCAGGCACTTACACCACTGAGCTAAATCCCCAGCCTCTTCAGATGTTTTTGAAGTTTACAGACAAGGTACCCGATTAACAGTGCTGTTTCCTTGAGGGTGGAAGTGTATGGACTTTGTGGATTTATAGGATCACAAAAAAAACACAAGCCCAGTTTGTAGACTTAATGTATCTTTGACTGGGGTTTAGGCATGAGGAACCTAGAAGAAAAACAGGCCTAGGGATGAAATGACATTGTAACCTTCAGTAACTTTGTCTTGAAGCTGCAGTTGTCTTAAAAGACCATTTTATGTTTTATTTTACTTTATTTTTTAGTATTTTGGTGGTGGTGGTACTGGGGATTGAAGCCAGAGCTTTCTCATTAGATTACATCCCAAACCCTTTTTTTTTTTAAATTTTGAGACAGGTTCTCCCTAAATGGCTAAATTGCCCAGGATAGACCCAAACCTGTGATCCTCCTGCCTCATCCTGTTACAGGCGTGTACCACCATGCCCAGTTTAAAAATATGATTTTTCAATTATAGTTTCCTTGTCTGGCTTTCTTTCTATCTTATCTTTATTTCTTCTAGCCTACCTCAATATCCTAAGCCCTGGAACAGGATCCGGCGTGACTCGGAGCCCAGAGGCCATTGTAGAGAAAGAAAGAAAACTCTCGAGATCTGAAAACCAGAAAGTATTTCTGAAATAAACCGACTATAAGGCAAATTTACCAAGAGGCAGGCAGCAGGGCTGCAAAGGGGGCTCAACATGAAGGCCAACAATTCTGTGGGGCGGGCTGGAAACCTGCCGGCCTGGGCTCTGCTTTGCAGAATGGCAGCTGTGCATGCACATGGCAGTGACAGCTTTGGGAGAATGCTGTGACGTGCATGGTTGTCTGGGCCAGCAAGAGCATCACCCAGTGCCCTGAAGCTTTTCTAGGCCAAGGCTTTGTCACTCATGGCCAAAGCGTCACCTTGTGTAGAAAGCACCCTGCCCCCTTATTCCACAGGGCAGGGGGAAGGCTGCAGCCTCAAAACAGAGAGTTTAGCTGGTGTGTCGTGGTGCACACCTATAGTCCCAGCACTCCAGAGACTGAGGCAGGAGGATCACAAGTTTGAGGCCATCCTGAACTGCATAGTGAGATCCTGTCAGAGACAGAGAGAATTTATTTAAAACTCTCAGTCACAGGCGAAGCCAGGACCTCTAAGGACGTCACTGGAATATGTTCTTGCTGCTGTCCCCATGCTGTGGCCCAGCTGCCACTAACAGCTCGAGGCTGTTCCCACCAAGCCTCAACCCCACCAGGAACAGCAGAGATCATGCATTCTATAGAAATAAACAACCACCACCCAAGTGAGAACACACCGAGCTTTTGTTCAGAGCTTGCTACAGCACAGGCGTCTTTTTGGTAGATGCAGAGCAGACAGGAATGACAGCTTCACAGCATGAAAAGGGAAGGTTTCATGTATTCTCTCCCCAGAGGCTGCGGACAGAGAGCCCCTGGCAGAGACACGGAAAACAGATAAAGGAATAGTCCACTGGCATGGGGTGGTGATAATCGAGAAGACAGAGGATTGGATATTCCAAAGCAAGGCTTAAGACTTGGCACAAGGTAGACTCTGGAGACAGACCAGAAGGCACAGTCACAGGTGACTGGTGATGCCATTCCCTAACCTGGGACAGGTCCAACCATGCCAGGAACAGGAGTGCAGAAGGAGCAAAGATCAGGGCTTCACCCAGACAAGAGTTAGTGTACGAGCTTGCCAAGGTCACCATCCATCAAATGGAGGGATAAACAACATAGAGCTTCGTCTCACCAAAATCCAAAATCAAAGTTGATTCCTTCGGCGGACCGTGAGGCAGAATCAGCTTTATGCTGCTCCCTTAGCTTCTTGTGAGCTCCTTGGCTTGCGGAAGAGGCGCCTTGATCTTTACCTACATCTCCACGTGGTGTCCTCCCTGTGTGTGCGTCTGTGTCCAAATGTCCCCTCCTGATTAGGACATCATGAATGTTCCATCGGGGCCCACCCTGCCCCAGGAATATTAATGACATTGGCAAAGACCCAATTTCTGAGTTTTGGGGATATACAATTAAACCCAAAACAGGAAGAATAAGTTATGGTCAAGGAGCAAACACCAGGCGGTACAAGACATGAACTAACTCAGTACTGCTGGAATCAGAAGCAGAAGTGAAGACTTAGGGGAAACAGTGCCTTTGTTTATGTATTCATTTATTTAGAGACAAGGTCTTGCTATGAGGTCCAGAGTGGCCTTGAACTTACTATGTAGCTCTGGCTGGCCTCAAACTCGCAGTGATCCTCCTGCCTCAACTTCCTGAATGCTGGGATTGTAGGCATGTACCACCATACCTGGCCCTTAGTGCCTTTGTGTAGAAAATGAGATTCAAATAGATGATCTCAGGGCTCAGCAGCATAAGTGCCTGGCAAGCAATAGGTCATGAGTTCGATCCCCGGTATCCAGGAAAAAAAACAAAAATAGGTGATCTCTACTATTTTCTTTCTAAGGAATCTTTGAAGGGAACAGAAAAACCCAACTCAGAATAGTTTAAACAAAACCCCAGTTGGGCACTGTGATGTATGTCTGTACTGGCAGCACTCAGGAGGCTAAGGCAGGAGAATCCCCATGAGCTGCAGGACAGCCTGCGCTACCTAATAAGTGAGTTCAAGACCAGTCTGCACACCACAGCAAGATCCTGTCTCAAAGAAAAGTCCCATCTCATAAAAGTTCAGATGACGACGGTTGGCTTCATGGTTGGGCCCCTAATACCCTTCTACTTTCCCATCCCCAGTGTGCTGGTTTTAGTCTCCAGAATCTCTCCCGTCAGAAGATGGCTGCAGCAGTTTCACTTTCACACCCTAAGACACAGCACTGAGAGAAAGACAGTGAGGACTTTCTTTCAGAAAATGCAGCTGCTTTGGGCCCATGGGCCGTGGGCTGGCCGTGTAACATGGTCTCACCATGCTATTTGGGGCCATGGCAGGGATGGCCGAAAGGATGGGCCCTCTCTCCACACAGTCCCTCACCATGCAGTCATCCAGCCCACAAAGAGTCATCTCTGTGTGGCAGCTGGATACCAACAGGGCAAGCACTTATCAAGCCTCTGCTTGGCTCCCATGGCCAGAGAGGAATTAGGCATAAGCACGGGCCTGGCAAGTGCCAGGTCATGAGTTTGATTCCCAGTACCAAAAAAAAAAAAAAAAAAAAAAAAAAAAGAAAGAGAGAAAGAAAGAAAAGAAAAAATGATCAGGAACATGAAACACAAACTCCTGAAAGATTAAATAGCAGTGAGATTTAAAACTTGAGTAGCATTTTGAAGCTGATGTAAATTTGCAGGCAGGTCTAGGGAGAGGGCTGTCACCTGGGCAGGCAGTGGATTTCTCCCAAAAGGCTCACGGGGCAGGGAATGTCCCATGCTCCAGGGGCAGGCTTCCGTGTTAGTCTTCCACCTCCAGCTGAGCTCAGGAGGGCTGCCGAGGAGCAAGTGACTACCAGAATGCCTAGGACAATGAAGCAAGGGCCCAAGGTCAGGCAGACCAGAGGTGAAGGGTGACCCATCGCCTTCGGGGGGGAGCTCAAGCAGAGCTGTGGAGTTGCTTGCACAAAAAGCGGTCTGCTGAGCTGCTTGGCTGCAACCTTGAATTAATAATAGGCTCTGATGGCCCATTACATATTGGCTGATGGACTGATTGACTGTAGAAATCAGAATGAAACCCAGAGCTTCATCCCCAGCCATTTGTTTATTTATCCATTTATCTGGACACAGAATCTCACTAAGTTACTAAGTTGTCCAAATGGCTTGAATTTAGGATCCTTCTGCTTCAGCCTCCCAAGGTGCTGGGATTATAAGTGTGCTCATGTATGTATCTTAAATGTATGGTGAAAAATTTAAGATGAAAAAGATATAAAATAATGTGATCAGTGCTTTGTAAAATAAAACATTACCAAATGAAATGGAAGATCCCTAAATATCGTCTCAGATTAAATCTTCTCCCCCTCCCAAATTGCTTACTTCTCTGAACTTGTTCTCCAATGTCTCTATGCCCTTCTTAATCATACACCATATATATAAGTAATAAATGCATTGTATCCACCCGGTATCATGATGCTGTATATAGTGGACATGGCAGTGACTAATCCAGACAGTGCCCAGGACATGAAGCTGTAGAAATTGTCACCCACACACCAATGCCAGTTGTCCGTGGACATACCCGATCTCGTCTGCCCTTGGAAGCTGAGCAGATTCGGGCCTGGTTAGCACTCAGATGGGAGACAATCATGGTGATGAGGTACAAAGCACTGGGAGTGCTGGGGTGTAGCTGCCAATGCCCTGGACATCCCCATGGTCCTGATGCGGTGCCCTCCACCAGGTCATTCTTGGTGGTAGACTCTAGTGTCAGCCTCTTCCCCATCCCTTTCACCACCTGGCCTCCCTGCTCCTTGGCAAAGACCAGAGAGCCTGTCCCAAACCCCAAAGTCCTGACTCAGTTTACAGGTCCAGCAGTGCTGCCGGGGTCAGCGGCCTCACTTCCCAGCTGGGGCTCTCTTCATAGTGCTCCCAATGGGCACAGAAGCAAAGCCAGGGGAAGCTGCTTGGTGTGAATGGAGTCATCAGGAAAAGCTGCATCTGCGTTTCTTTAAAGAGCCTGCAGACTGCTTGACCCCTGCCCACTTCTCATCCTGATGGCAGAGATAGGGTGTCTAGGTTGAGATCTAGAACTATCTCAGGTTATCTTAGACTCTTTTTTTTTTTTTGGTCTTTTTCACTTTTATGGGTACCAGGGATCGAACTCACGACTGCCTGCTTGCAAGACAGGCGCTTATGCCGCTGAGCTAAAACCCCAGCCCCTAGACTCTTAACTTTTGCATCTGACCAAACATTTTCCAAAGGAGTCCTCCAGCCCCACTGCCCCTAACGCTAAGAACACGGTAAGGTAACGTCTGGACCCTGTGGAAGGGGCTTCTCTATCTTGCGTGGCCCGCCCACCTTATGCTTCACCATCCCTGGGGAATGTGTGGACTGGTCACCTGCTCATGCTCTGTGATGACAGAAGCATGTAACTTCCCCCCTTGGGAGCATGTCATTTTGGAATAACTTGAATTCGTGTTCCCATGTTCCCATGCCATGGTCACTTGTATTTGGCTCAGGATAAACTATTTCCTTTAAAGCAGAAGCCTTGTTTTAGGTCAGTAACAGTTTCTCAGCACCAGCCACTTCCAAGGGAACCCACAAACCTGCATCCCACACATTGATTCTCAGATGTCCATGTCTGTAGTTACATACTACACAAACGCAAAGTCCTTCCATTGGACTCCACTTTGACTTCCGGTTCAAAGCTGAAGCACCACTCAGAGGTGTGTGTGTGTGTGTGTGTGTGTGTGTGTGTGTGTGTGTGTGTGTGCGCGCGCACACGTGTACCTGTCCATGAGCTGGTGCCTTGGTCAGCTCGAGCCTTCCTTGGAGACAACCCTAAGGCTAGCTGGCTTTCCTCCAACTTCATGTAAACTATATTTTGCCTGTGACCAAGATTATGTAAATATCAATGTTTTACTTTTCATTATGTAATATTTTACAGACACCAGTTTAACTGACATGGCCATATTTTTGTCTTTATGTTCAGATTGTGGATGCCAGAGTATTTTGTCCACATTACAGGAGTCCTCCTATGTAAGGGGAAACCTTTGAGATCCCCAGTGGGTACCAGAAACTACAGATAGTAGTATCAAATCCTACATTTACTGTTTTTTAAAGTATGCATATCTATGATATGATTAGGTATAGTAAGAGATTAGGAACACTAAGAAGAATTATAGCAATATCTGTTACTATATTGTTCTCTTTTATTACCAGCACCAGTAGTGTTTTTGTTTTTTGAGATGGGGTCTTACTATGTAGTTCAGGTTGACCTTGAACTCACTAGGTAGCTCACACTGGCCTCAAACTCATAGTGATCTTCCTGCCTCAGCCTTCCAAATACTGGGATTACAGTCATGCTCCACTACACCCAAGTGCCAGCACCATTACTCTTGTGCACTGACGCTATTATCAAGTAAAATAAGAGTACCTGAATATAAGCACAACAGATGGTCTGGTGACTGCAGTGGCTACTGAAATGAGTAACAGGAGGGTAGGGTATGCAGGGTGGATACACTGGATAAAAGGAGAATACTCCTGGGGTAGGAAAGAGACAGTATGAGCTTTCACCACACTACCCAGAACATTGCAATTTAAAACTTGTTTATTTCTTGATTTTTCCATTTTTACTTTTGAGCTGCAGTTGACTGTGAATAATCGCACCACGGAGAGCAAGGCCTGGAATGCATAGGGACTGCCGTATTAAGTCTACGTGTTTCTTAGGTACAGTCAAGTGATGTCACATAATTGTATAGTTATGTTCAGTTCTTAACTTTCTGTGCCTCAGCAGGAAGCTGCCAACCTTCCAACTGTCTCTACTATGTCTGGTCAACACTCCTCTATCAACCCAGGGAACAAAATCTATCAAAACCCATCATCTGCCTTCCAGCCCCTGCTCAGCTACAGGAATTTGGCTTCAACTTCAGTTTACACCTAGTCCCTCCCCTCTGGCTGATGGAGGAGACTTTTGTTCCTTGCCAAAAGTGGAACAAGAATCTCAGTCACCGTCCTTCAGGAAAGAGGAAGCCCTGCTTGTATTCCACAGGGAGGACCACGCCTCGCTGCAGTCTGAGGGTGCTTGAGCCTCCTTGCAGGCATCAGCAGTCCCAGCAGTGCGATATTTAACCCTGAGTCCCAGCCAAGACCTTGGAGGCTGGAGCTCTGCAGGACAAGCAGATGGTCACAGCCAGGGACCCTGTATTGGCATAGGATAGTTTCAGGGCTTTGCCAAGTCTGAAAAGCTGTCCCTGAAGTGGCCATGGTCACTGCCTTTGGTCAGTCCAAGCCTGTGGACAGCTGTTTCTCTTCTATTAGCCAGCAAGGTCTCTCCACCACCTGTGGACTCCAACTGCTGGGAGTGCAGTGGGTTTGGGGGAGGCATGCAGGAGGGAGGGAAAACCGGGAAACTTGGGAGGCAAGGAACCAACGAAAACTTCACCCTGGAGTTTTGCTCCTTGGACTGAGAATCAGTTACTGGGGGTCAATTGGAACCCATGGTGAAGTGGCCCCCAGGACCCGAGGGCATCTCAGTGAGCCTCCATTAATCAAACACCTTAAAACAAGGAGGGATACGGACTTCATGAAGTTAAAGGCATCTCCTTGGCGGACATGGTCGTGAAGCTGAGACAGAAGACTCATTGTGATTTTGAGGGCAGCCTGAGCTACACAGCAAGTTCACGGCCAGCTTGAACTACATAGTAAGATGTCTCAAAAAAAGAAAAAAAAAATGAGAGGAAGAGGCAATTATGCAAAATTGTGTCACTGTAATAGATTAACTAATGGACAACACAGCATGATGCTGTGTGGGGAAGGCCCACCTGAGGATTATTGACAACCGCCTAAGAGGCGAACCAGAGGGGAGATGGCCTGCTGTTTTCACTGGAGAAGCCTGTCCTGCTGGCTTTCCTCGTGTGAACTCCGCTGTTACTGTCAGAGGAGCTCAGGTCCTCGCTGTTGCCGATGGCGGCTGTGGTTCTCTTCAGGGAAGCTCTGGTCTGTGCTTTGGGTCCCTTCCTGGCTCCAGTGCAGATCCCTCAGCCTGCTGGCATAGATCCCTCATCAGGCTGGCACAGACTTTCTAGCTTCTGCCACTAACCTTTGGACTTTCCCAGTGCAGATCCTCAGTGCAGACTTGCATGAGACATTTCTCTCACTGCTGGGACAAAATAGTCAACACCCAAAATGAAGGAAGGAAAGATTTATTTAGCTGTTTGTGGAGGTTTCAGTCCATATCAGCTGGCTTCAAGGCAGGGTGGCATTGCACTGGGGCAACACTTCAAGGCAGCAGACAGCAAAAGCAGCCTGAGCAAAAGGGGCTGGGAAAGAAGCCTCTTCTCCCTTATATTGTAAGCAGGCTACACCCTCTCTTCCCACCCCACACCCTACCTCAGTCAGGGTAGGTGTAGCATTCATAAAATCTCCTTGCCCTGCTCTTGCACAGGATGTACATATTTACAAAGAATGAAACCTGGCTCCCTGCTGAGTCTCTTAAAACTTCTAAACTGCTCAACTGGACACAGTATATCCACCATAATGAGGCCCAGCCCAGAACTTTTGTCGTCGAGGATCTTCCTGACTTAGAAAGCTAAGTCTGTCATAATAATTTTTTTCTGACAAAACATTTTTTGGTTCACTCTATTTTAAAGAGGCCATTCAGTAAGGCAGAGGGCAGGGTGAATGTATCTGAAAAATATGTCAAGCATCCATATGCGAGTGCAGGACCCCACACACCTTGTTAATTATAATCCCCCTCTCATGCGGCGGGTTAAGACGTGCAAGTCCTGTTCATCTCTAGCCCTCAGTCACTCTGTCTTTCGCTTCGGATCACTAGTGAACTGTGGAGCTGATCCTCTCCTTCCTTGGTTTGCTTGAAGCCTGATTTTGGAAGGCCTTGAATGCCAGATTATGGAGTCACAGCTGACTGTTTGGGTCATGGACTCAAGCAAGGGACTGATACAGACTAGCAAGGTTAAAAACCCCTAGCTAAGCTGGGATTCTGAGTCTGGAGCATGAAAGTCACTTACACACCCTGTTTCCCATCCAGTATCATCACCTCTAGGCCTAACTTCCTATCTAAACTTTTTCATTGTAAACAGAAATCATTTTAGGTTGATACGATATATGAGCTGGTAAATATGGACATTTTTATTTTACACATTATTTATTTGGTTTTTTTGGAGACAGTATTTCACTGGATAGCCTAGGCTAGCCTAGAACTCACAGCACTCCTCCTGCCTCAGCATCCCAAGTGTTGGGATTACAGATGTGTACTACTGTGGCTGGCTTCTTTCCAGAATTTTTTTTTTTGCCTTTTTCTTTTTTATCGGTACCAGGGATCGAACTCATGACTGCCTGCTTGCAAGGCAGGCGCTTATGCCCCTGAGCTAAATCCCCAGCCCCCTTTCCAGAATTTTATCCAAATTGTTTTTTAATTGGTACCAGGGATCGAACTCACGACCGCCCAGGTGCTTATGCCGCTGAGCTAAATCCCCAGTCCCCCAAATTTTTATATTGACTTTTACTGATCATTTAATCTTATTTCTCTGCAACACAAGACTGTGGCACAGAAAATGTTTTTCTTATTTCTAGTGACCCCAAGGCTCTAGGTATTAACATTTCTTCATTAGTATACAATTAATCAAAGCAATATAAATATATTCCAAATATTAATAATAAACATAAAAAATACATTTTTAGTCAGGCATGGTGGTACACATCTGTAATCTCAGCTCTTGGGAGGCTGAGGCAGGAGGATCACTGTGAGTTCCAGGACAATCTCAGGGGTACAGTAGGTTCCAGGTCAGCCTGAACTACAGAGTGAGACTCTGTTTCAAAAGAAAAATTGGAAATTAATTTTTTATAAAATAAAGGGAGATTAATAAACAATTAATCCTGTACTCAGAGTGTTCTTTTTGGCTCTTTTTTTTTTTTTTTTTTTTTTTTTGTCTTTTTCGTTTTTTATCGGTACTGGGGATTGAACTCACGACTGCCTGCTTGCAAGGCAGGAGCTTATGCCTCTGAGCTAAACCTCCAGCCCCTTGGCTCTTCTTCATCTTCCCATTTTTATAGCTGAGTTCTCAGAAATGTTGGTCAAATAATTTAGCAGGTGAAACTGGAATGTTTTCACTTTGTTGTTGTTTTTCAGACAGAGTCTTGGTACATAGTTCAGGCTGGCCTTGAACTCAAAGTGATCCTCCTGCCTCAACCTCCTGAGTGCTGGGATTATGGGCATGTGCCACCACACCTGGTGAGATTGGAAAGTTCTCTTACAGCAGTGTCATTCATCCAATCTTCCAAACTGCATTTCAAAAATCCAGCAGTCTATAAGACCTCCTCCTTCCCCTTGGTTGAAGACAAAGAACTGGAATCCTAACTTCCAAAGGATGCTGCCAACCACTCAGTCATTCGCTTTTGTCACGTCAATGCCATCATTTCTAACTGTCTCTATTTGTCACTTTAGAGAATATCGTTTCCATAACAAAAGCCATTAGTGAGATTCTGGGTACAAGAAGGCAGTTTTTTGTAAAGGAGGATGCGGTTGTGGGCAAATTTCTGGGTTGTATTAATTTCAGAAAAGAATATATATGAAAATTCAAGTTCTAAGTTCTGGAAATGGATTTTTTTTTGGAACTGGGTATCAAACTCATGACCTTGCACTTGCCAGGAAGGCACTTGTACCACTGAGCTAAATCCCAGCCCTGGAAATGGGTTCTTGAAAATTCTGTTCCTCTGAGTCCCTTGGGTAGCACTCTTTCGTGGCTCCTGGTTCAGGTTACTTTGCTGACTGAAGCCCATTATGCTCTTGACCTTTGGCACTGAAAATATAATGGGCCAAACTATTAAAGAAGCAAGATGGGTCCTACTGAGATGGAAAAGAAGGCACTGCATTCTACATGTAGGTGAGTTTACTGACTATGAAACTGCAGTTGGGAAACCTAGATCCAATGCATAAACAGAACTCAGGTGCTTCACGGTAAAAATAAAAAAACTAAAGGCATATGGCCTTAAAATCTACACAAAAGGAGTCATTTTCTTATGGTTGAAAGTTGTCAGTGTCTCGAGTATAAATTTTACTGCCATAATAAACCCGACGACATCGAATGAGTAACTGCGATGGTACTGCTGGCAGAGTTCACAGATGGCAAATGACATCTGTAGAACAATGTGACAGCTGAAAGGACATTAAAACTCTATGCTTCTGCAGGAAGGGAGGACAGCACAGTGGTTCCCAGGCAGACTGGTTCTCAGTGCCCTCTTGGGGACACTGGGCAATGTCTGAAGACTTCTGCTGTCCTGACTTGATGAGGGTGATTCTAGTGGAATCTGGTGTGAGGGGTTAGGATGCTGCTCAAGAAGGCATGGGATGGTCCCCCAAGGAAATTACTCATCCCCAAAGCCAACGGTGCCAGGGCATCTGCATCTGGGTCCTTGTTATGCCATCTGTGTGCTGTGTGACCCCACCCTAGCTACTTAACCTTTCTGAGCCTCAGCTTGCTCATCTGTGTATCGAGCTGGTGACTGCTACTCACACTGCCCAGGCGCCATTCCACATGTTATTTTATTCCCTCCTTCCACTTCTTTGTGAGGTCCTATTACTTCATTTACGGGTGAACATGAACTAAAATAGTGTAATAAGCATTATTTAGAAAGCACAGTGAGGATAATCAATCAACTGTCACTTAGGGCTTTATTTTTTAATAAAGATACATTGAGCTAAGCATATTTTTTTTTTTGTCTTTTTCCTTTTTATCGGTACCGGGGATCGAACTCATGACTGCCTGCTTGCAAGGCAGGAGCTTATGCCGCTGAGCTAAATCTCCAGCCCCAAGCTAAGCATATTTTTTTGATAAAGAATCTGTTTGCCTTTGTTTTTGAACTAGGGATTGAACTACGACCTCATGCTTGTCAGGCAGGCACTTGTGCCACTGAGCTAAATCCCCAGGATCTCACCAGGCTGGCCTCAAACTTCAGGCAATACTCCTGCATCAACCTCCCCTGTGATGGAATTACAGGTGTGGACTACTATACCTGGCTGCATATTTTCATGGATACCAACAGTTTTGGCTGTGACAAGTAATTCTTGGCAGCTGGATTTCGTGCTGCACACCTGTGACCCCAGCACTCTGGGAGGCTGAGGCAGGAGGATTTAAAGTTTGCCCCCAGCCCAGGCAATTTAGCAATATCCTGTGCCACTAAAAGGAAAAAAGTGATGATGGTATACAGGCCTTCACGATGTGGCTTCTTCTGTAGTCATATTCTGCTCCAGAACCTTTTCACTTGCTCTTTTCTCTATGTAGGCAAGGTTAGTTCCCTAGTCAGCCTCATCTCCAAAGTCACGCGATCTGGGACACCTTTCTAGAACATTCAATAAATACCACATACTCCTTTTCACTTGCTCTTTTCTCTATGTAGGCAAGGTTAGTTCCCTAGTCAGCCTCATCTCCAAAGTCACGCGATCTGGGACACCTTTCTAGAACATTCAATAAATACCACATACTCCACTTCATGCTTTCTTCGTTTTTTAAATTTTAGTTAACAACTGCCTGACATAATCATTTAATACCTACCTCTGGTCTGGGATGATGGTAAATGCTTGTAATCCCAGCACTCAGAAGGTTGAGGCAGAAAGATCGCTTTGAGTTCAAGGTCAGTTTGGGCTATACAGTAATTCTGGGCAAGACCCTGTCTTAACCCCCGCCCCTGGTGGGGGGGGGGGGAAACCCCACTATTTCCCAAATAGAGAAAAAACACTGTGAACAAAGAACTCAATTGTTCATCATGTGGCCCCAACACCTAGAACTGTGCTGGCCCGCTGGCCACTTGGCCATCTATTCTCAATGAATTCATAACTGTCTTTGTGTCTCTGACCCAAGTGACAGTGAAGTACAAAAATCACAGATACATAAAATAGAGATGAGGAAAACTATAACTAAAAATACGTACTTAAAAATACTGCAACTTAGGGAGTGGGGATTTAGCTCAGCGGCATAAGCGCCTGCCTTACAAATGTGCGGTCGTGAGTTCGATCCCTGGTACCGATAAAAACGAAAAAGACAAAAAAAATACTGCAACTTCCAGGACAAAGTCACCCAAGGCTACCCACAGAGTTTCCTTCATTGATTTATGCTTCCTTCCTTCCATATCCATCACACCCAAAATTCCTCGAGGTTGTACGCCCCGGAAATTGGCTGTTAAAAAGAGTGGGAACCTGGTCCTCAGGCAAACCAACCGGCTGCGGGGCCTGAAGGAATGCTTAAAATTATCCACCTCAAAACAAAGCAACAAATCCGGGCCGGACCTGTAAAATGGGCCCGGGCCCCATGGAGGGTGTCGGGGACCCCGCTTAACGCCATCTGCGGGTTCCGGGCTCCAGCTCTGCTCCGGGAGCCTCCCGGCCCCCGCCCCGCCACCCCGTGAGGCCGTCCGTCGGGCCAGCGCCATCCTGAAAGGGAACCGCGGAGAACGCGGCCCCGCGGGGCCGAAGCCGCCGCTGCCCAGGCCCAGGACCACGAGGGCCGCCCGTCAATGGCGGCGAAGGGCTAAGGCCCCGGCCCTAAGGAGGGTTCCTGGCAGCTCTGCTTCGGAGTGGGCACAACCGTGCCGCACCAGGCACTGGAAATGCACTTCAGTGTAAACAGTGGGCAACAGAATGCTTTAACATAGCCGCCATGTCGCCAACTGGACAACTCGCTTGAAATAAAAACAGACACGGGGCACCCATCATGGCTGCCAGCGACGGCGCCGCTAGACGCAACCGAAAGGAAATGGCGCCGGGCGCGCGGCCAGTCTCGGCGGCCCCGGAGGGAGGCGAGAGGGCCGCCGAGAAAACCTAGGAGGGCCTAGCCGAGGACCTAATAACTCTCCTGGCTTCTGGCACCTTCCAAACTCTGAAGCTGCAACATGGAGGACTGTTATTGTCTCTGTAAAGAGACTCGCAACCGCAGGCCCAACTTCCGTCCCGCTGCGGAATCCGGCTAAACCTCTATTCTCAGGACTTCATGCGCTACGCATATTGCGCATCTCCGCAATAGTGGGCCGGCTAACGACGTAAAGAATGTTACGTCGCGACGAAGGCGCTTCCCCCGCCCCACCCCATGTTCTAGTTCAGGAGGCGCGAGGGCTTTACGTCTACTCCGTATTTTGTTTTTCTTGTATGAGCAGAAAAGTGCACTGGTCTCCGCAACTGACGTAAAACGCTTCCGAGAATATCCGTAATACCCCGCGGAGCCCTCGGGCGATTCCGAAACCCTGTTTACGTATCGTCTCCGCCGTACGTAGCGTTAAGTTGGAGCAGTCTCAGCGGCGGCCGCCATTTTGTGCAGTCTCTGAGAGGGAAGGAGACGCCTAAACCGCGGCACTGCCGGGTTTGAGCGTAGCCAAACCTACCCACCGTTTTTATAACCCCGATTCTCTGTGTTTTGCTCCCGTCTCCGACGAGAGAGGCGGCGACGGTGGCGTCTGCGACGGGAGACAGCGCGTCGGAGCGAGAAAGCGCCGCGCCTGCCGCCGCCCCAACAGCGGAGGCGCCGCCGCCATCGGTCGTCACCAGACCGGAGCCGCAGGCCCTCCCGAGCCCGGCCATCCGTGCCCCGCTCCCAGATCTCTACCCATTTGGGACCATGCGCGGAGGCGGCTTTGGGGACCGGGACAGGGACCGGGACCGTGGCGGGTAAGGGGAGAGGCGGCCGGACGCGAGGCCGCGCGTGTGCGTGGGGCGGGGGAGGGGGCTCGGCGGCACAATGGCGGCCTCGGGGGAGCGGGCTGGGCCCCGGCCGCCGCAAGCCCGGTCACGGGGCCCCGCGCCGCAGTCACCGTCGGTGCCGCCTCGGGAAGTCCAGCGCCAAATGGCCTCCTTTATGTGACGTCCCCGGAGATCCCTGTTGGCGATCCGTCTGCAGGGCCGTTTCTCGTTTTGTTTTTGTTTTCGGGGCTGCGGATCGAGCCCGAGGCTTTGGCTCCCGCTCGGCGGTCGTCCCTCCTCCTTGTGATTTTGCATTGATTTTAAAAATCGCCTTCCGGCATCTTTTGTGTAACTCAGAAGCCCTCAGAAATGTAATGGAGTCCGTTGTAGTCTACAGTGTTGGAGAAAGGAGAGTTTGGGGAGATAGGCTGTAGTGTAGTTTTTATTAACTTTTTTTTTCACTCCTCTTTTACCCAGTGTTAATTCTTGTTCTGGCCTGGAAAGTTTCGATGTTACAGTGCCGCGGTTGCACTATCAGGAGTGGAAAGTTAACAGGCTTAAACCTGAAACCGTCCCGAATACTGAGATTTCAGGGTGTTGTCTGCTGAATGACTTTCTGCTTAACAGATCTCATTGACGTGTGCTGCCGGGTTTTGTTTTGGGGACGGGATCTCGTGTATGTATCCAGGCCGACCTTGAGCTCGCAGGGATTCTCCTGCCTCAGCCTTCCTAGTGGAGTGTTGAGATTACCGGCATGTCTGTGATTTTGGGCATATCCTTAGTTTTTGTGAGCCCATTTTTTTCAGCTGAGGAGAAGAATAAATACTTCGTTGTGTTCTCGGGAATGAAGGGATAATGTGTGCCATTGTCCTGTAGTTCGAGATACTCTTAACAAAACGTCGATGTTTTAAATGAACAAATATTAGACTTGGCGCAAGCATGTCAGCTATCACTTCAAAGTTACAAAATGAGAACTATTTCCACTTGCCAGTTAGGAGGAAAGTCTCTTGACTTTTTGTTACAGATTTTGAGAGGAGGGCTAAAAGTGAAAGGTTCCTTTAGCGTTTTACAGTTGAGTGAAGTTTAGAAATGAATTTCAACACAGATGCCCAGAAAGTACCTAGTAAACTTGAAAGTAACCCAGTAATTGTTTTACACCCTGTTGTAAACGCTAAAGACTTAGAAAAATCTTTGTACATGTGACCTAGGAGCAGTGTATAAAACCATTTACCCCAACATGGTCGGTGAGAGTAGCTTTTTGGAAACTCCGTGTCCTGATAAAATTGTAGGTGTTTGTATATTTAAATACAATACAGCCATGAAAAAGAAAGAAAACTTAGATCATAGATCATTCTCAGACATGTTGAATTTTTAAAATAGGTTGACCTATTTAAGGGTACAGGCAGATAGCACAGAACTATAAAAACCAGAGAAATGGTTACTACAACTCAAGGTAGTTGTTAATGGTGGAGGCTGTAAATTTGAAAGAGGTACAAGGAGGCTCCCAAAGTATTGGTAGTGGTATTCTATTTCTTTATTGTGGGTGACAGTTCATCATAAATATAATTTGAAAAGAGGAGAAACAGTGAAGTTCAGTCCGTATCCCATAATGACTCATTGAGTATCCGATGACCGTAAAAATGGGAAGCTTTTTTAAATCCCAAGACAAAATTGCACTTTGATAAAGTCTGTGCCCTAATTACTTTCACTTGAGTTTTCGTTTGTGCTTTGAATTGCTGCTGTTTTGCTCTTAAAGTTACAAAGGTGAACTTAATTAGTTGGAAATATACTGGGTGTGGTCTATCTATATCTATATATGTCTTAAAAACTGAATGTGTCAGATAGGCAGATTTAACTGCTACTGGATCACAGTAATGAACAGCAGAATCGGGGCTGTGTGTATGCACACATAATAGCAGAGAAAGTCCAAGAATGTTGTATTTTTACTTGAGTAAGAGCACACAGTATTTCTTTTTTCTTCTTTTTTTTTTTTTTTTTTTTTTTTTTTTTTTTACTTTTTACCGGTACCAGGGATCGAACTCGTGACCTGCCTGCTTGCAAGGCAGGTGCATATGCCGCTGAGCTAAATCCCCAGCCCCGAGCACACAGTATTTCTTGAAGACAACCTATTTAGAGTCTTTTTAACTGGCTTACAAATGGGAATGGCCAATCCATGTGGCCTTTGGTCCATGTACTGGAAGCCTGAGAACATGCTGTAGATACAAGTATATGTACTTTAATGCTATGTGCTGCTTCAGTTTTGTTTTTCTCTTACTGGTTCACTAGCAGTATAGATGGTATCTGTTTACTCTGTTTATTGAGTGTAGATACCATAATGCCCAAAAAAATTTCCTGCTGGTCTTTAAGCCCAGGCGTTCTAATGGTTTGAGTTTCAGGAAATGGAACATCTTTAAGATCTTACTGCTGCAGCACTGTGGAACATGCCTGTAATCATGAGCACTTGGGGCTGGCCGAGGGAGGGAGGCAGGAGGATCAGTTGGAGCCTAGCCTTGGCAACTTGGCAAGACCCTGTCTCAGAAACTAAAGGGCTAGAGATGGAACTCTGTGCAAAGGCTTTGGATTTTTGTCCCAAGCACTGGAAAAGTAAACTTTCTGCAAGATGTTAATGAGTTAAGAGTGGGAAGAGCAAATTCAGTATTGTGTTTTACAAGAAGTGAAGGGAATGAGATGAAAAAATAGCCTACAGTTTGTACAGCAAACAAAGCATTGCCCTTGACAGAGTGATTTAAGGAAATGAAGGCCATCCTTAGTGTTAGGATCCATCCAGCAAAGTAACTTGTAAATGTTTACATTTCAGGTTTGTCTAGTATGGCCATGTTTATATTTTCACTTAGCTTGCTTGTTGTAAGGGGTGTATCAAAAAAATCCGAATTTGAGTTTTAAAAACCTTAAATATGGTTTATTGATGGTATCTCCTATAAATTCTTATGATTTTCCTATAAATTGTTTTCTGGCTGTTTTGTTAGCATAGACTACCAATCTTTTATAGGTCCCAGTAGTTTCATGTTTAGACAGTAGAGCAGCAGAAGTGTTCTCTACAGTCTAAAAGGGGAAGGAATCCGAAAAGCTGTTCAGAGTTTGGAGAACTTACTTGAATTTTCCTCCCATCCACACCAGTGCCCTTTAAACTTTTAATTGCCTTCCTCTGTTGCACAAGATACTTATCTGTTTTATTTTTTAGTATCTATAGCACCACCTAAAACAGTATAGTTGTTGAAGGACTAGATGTGCTGCATCAGATACTGTTTAAAGCACATGCCCATAAAATGGGGGTGGGGAGCTGGGTAGTATCCTAGAAGTTCCCTCTTCGTGCATGTATTCTGGGCACATAAGGTAACGTAGCTTTAAAAATACTAATGAGCTAAAAATTCTTGCTGTTTCTAGATTTGGAGCAAGAGGTGGTGGTGGACTTCCTCCGAAGAAATTTGGTAATCCTGGGGAGCGTTTACGTAAAAAGAAATGGGATTTGAGTGAGCTCCCCAAGTTTGAAAAAAATTTTTATGTGGAACATCCAGAAGTGGCAAGGCTGACTCCAGTAAGTATATGTGCGCACATGGGCGTATGACGCTTTTTATACAGATAAATGAAACAAACAGAAGTGTAGTATAGAATTTACTTGTTGCTGTTTTAGACTTTGTTATAGTACAAGGTTCTTAGACCCTTAAGAGTACTTCATACTCGTAAGAGGGACCACCTTAAATATACATACACTATATTGCTCGGTGCTCCCTTAACTGTTTTTTCAACATTCCTCATATGTGGTTTTCACTGTATATTAGGTCATGTCTTCATATATGAGTTAAGTTTTAATGGTAAATTTTTTTTTAACTTCATGATTGTTTTGGACTCTACCTATGAAGTGGTTATTTATTCAGAAAAGTAATTTAAAAGCACACCTGATCTTACCTTCCACATACTGTCGCACTTCCTACTTCTAACCATAAGTGGAAGTTACTTGCTCCTTCTGTGTATTTCCTTGCATAGAAGGGAATCCCAAGCCCCCTGCCTTGTTAACTCGCACAGGAAAATCTTCACAAAATTTGAAGCGGCATATGCTGTATGAAAACGTAGTATATATTTACCATTGTTACTGTGGCTTAGGTGATAATTAGTTGGCTAATAAGAGCTTAGGATGTGGACAATAACTTTTACTAATTTGTCTTCATTTTTTCTGCCAGTATGAGGTTGATGAGCTACGCCGAAAAAAAGAGATTACAGTGCGAGGGGGAGATGTTTGTCCTAAGCCTGTCTTTGCCTTCCATCATGCTAACTTCCCACGTAAGTGTTCTTCAACCCAGAATCTTGCTGGGTCGGGTATGATGGTCCACGCCTGTAGTCCCAGCATTGGGGAGGCTGAGGCAGGAGGATCTTCTGTCAGTTCAAGGCCAGCCTGGACAAGACTTTGACCCAGCCTTTGGATTTTGTCAAAAAGACAAGTAGAAATCTTTTATAAAGGTAGTGTCTTATGTCATGGTTTTGTCTGTCTTGTTGCTGAGACAAAATGCACCCAAAGTTAAGGAGAAAGTATTTGTTTGGCTGACGGTTCATAAAGGTTTCGGTCCATAGTTGGCTGGCTCCAAGGGAGGGTGGCACATGACAGGGCCTTGAGGAGAAAGTTCTTTGCAGGCAGATGATAGCAAAAGCGAGCAAGGGCGATCACAGCTCTTTGTGTCCCTTATCCCAGGCTACTTAGAGGGGGTAGCACACCCTTGATCCTAGCGTTGTACCGAATCAATTCCAGGTTACACACTCCAGATCCAGCCACTTCTGAAAAAGCCCCCCCCTCCCCACCTACAACCTGAGTCATTGGGGAGACAGCTAGACACAAGGCATAACCGGTTTCAAAAAAATTAACTGCTTAAGGGTTGTGGTAAATATGTTGGTGCGTAAGACTTTTGGTGCTCATCTGGTCTGTAGATGAAGGACTCTTTGTTCATTTGTTCACTCTGTAGTTTGCACTCCCCTGAACAAACAGTAGAATGAAACTGCTTTCTAGCTGAATATAAGAAGAATTTGGCAACAGTGTGACTGTTGTAGCCCTGTGCTCTTAGATGCTGTAAGGTAGTGATTTTGAAGTATAATAAACTGGATGTAAATTCCTTTTTTTTTTAAGGCACTAATACATTTATCTTCTCACAGAATATGTGATGGATGTGTTGATGGATCAACACTTTACAGAACCAACTCCGATTCAGTGCCAGGGATTTCCGTTGGCTCTTAGCGGCCGGGATATGGTGGGCATTGCTCAGACAGGCTCTGGGAAGACATTGGCGGTGAGTTCCAGCAAGTAGAGATATTTGGCATTGTGATAACTTAACTTTTGCTATCCTAATTGTCACAAAAGTATAATTCAGTAGTGTAATGTTAGCTATGGACATTTTGCGTTCAAATGTACATTGCGTAAGAGATGGGAGTATTAGATTGTGCTTTTCACATTGCTATTTGGGCATTATTACTATTTTAAGTTAGAATATTAAGATGATGACTTGGTTTTGGCATAAAATTTTGTGTTTATTCCTCCCCAGTATCTACTGCCTGCAATTGTTCACATTAACCACCAGCCATACTTGGAAAGGGGAGATGGCCCAATCGTAAGTGTGTTTTGTTCCATTTATAGTTTTAAGAATACAAATGAATGATCATTATGTATTAGGCACTGCTTTACTCACATTGTCCAATTTCATTCTTAAGTTCATCTACCTTCCATGTCTGCATGGGTTATAACCCTGTTTTGGGAGTAAATGACCTGCCCATTTTGTGAGAGTTGTGTAGTTTCACTAGGTCAGTGATAGTGAACCCTTTAGAGCTTTTAATAATAACAGAACACTGTGGCACATGTGCCATAGGTTCGTTGCCACAGCACTGGGTAATATAGTACACATCCACTTACTTGTATGTTGGTCACTTGTATGTGTGACCAACAAATGATAACGCCTTAAAGTAAGTCAAGGGATGAGGGAGGGTACCAATATCAGCATATTGGGCAGTGAATGTCACCAGTTTTTACCCACACTGCAGTGTAGTTGTACTTAAGTCTCCAGGCATCCCAACACCCCATCCTGGCACGTTCTTTGAAAAGTATTAAGAAGGGAAGCATTAATTACCTTTTTTTTGTACTTTGTTGTTTTGGGGAAGTTGTTGTGTTTACCTTAGGGCTTTTTTGTTTGGCTTGTTTCAGTGTCTAGTTCTGGCTCCTACCAGAGAGCTTGCTCAGCAAGTACAGCAGGTAGCTGACGACTATGGCAAGTGTTCAAGATTGAAGAGTACTTGCATTTATGGAGGTGCTCCTAAAGGCCCCCAGATTCGAGACTTGGAAAGAGGTAATTTGATAAAAATACTTCATTACATAAGACTCGTTTACCTTTTAGCAATCTCTATATATGAGATTGAAGAAAGAATAAAGGATTCTTGTGAAAAAATCACAGAAGCTTAGAAATTCTTGATTTGGTTGTAAGACACTCACTTTAGCTGGGGACTTTTGTAGGACTGATGGTTACAGCTGAATTTTTTTTTTTTCCGTTATGTTTTGAAGCTACTGCTCTGCAGCTTGTGTGCAAGGTCACCAGAGCTGGTGTTTCTCAGTGCGTGTGCTCAGGTTTAGATAGTAGATAAAGACTTCCTGGTGAGTCAGATCTTTATGCTTTACAGGTGTTGAGATCTGCATAGCTACTCCTGGACGCCTGATAGATTTCCTAGAGTCAGGAAAGACAAACCTGCGCCGCTGTACTTACCTGGTTCTGGATGAGGCTGACAGAATGCTTGATATGGGCTTTGAACCTCAGATCCGTAAAATTGTTGACCAAATCAGGGTGTGTACTTCAGGCCTTTATTACTTGTTGTCTTTGTTTGTTTGTTTTGCCTTTAGACCTTTGGGTGGTTATATAGTTCCTTATCCTGAAAGACTTTTCCTTTTCTGATAGCCTGATAGGCAGACATTGATGTGGAGTGCAACTTGGCCGAAAGAAGTAAGGCAGCTTGCAGAGGATTTCTTGCGTGATTACACTCAGATCAATGTGGGCAATCTGGAGTTGAGTGCCAACCACAACATCCTTCAGATTGTGGATGTCTGCATGGAAAGTGAAAAAGATCACAAGTATGTATGAAAGAGTCCACTTGTTCTCATAATGCTAATGCATTGTCTTAACAATCCTCCAGTATTAGGAGAAGCCAGTGTTTTTTGAGGCCTGAAAAAAATTAGAAACATTGGGACTTTGTAATCATCCATTCTTTATCTCACCAATAGCAGTGTCTTGGATCTGAATAGAACAATATATGTAGGAAGCTTTTTCTGTATGATGACTGTGTTGTTGGTCTTATTCAGATTGATCCAACTGATGGAGGAAATAATGGCTGAAAAGGAAAATAAGACCATAATATTTGTAGAGACAAAGAGACGCTGTGATGACCTTACTCGAAGGATGCGCAGAGATGGGTGAGTATAGCACCAGAATAATTAGCTTTGGGTTTCATAGTTAATGGTTATTTCTAAATTGGTATTGCACACTCCAAAATTTTATGATGACTTAGACAGTATTCTGATACCACCCAACATTCCAAAACAAACCTATACTGTAACTTAAACTTGGGGTTCATACTGAGTAATATGAACTATAATCCCATCCCTTCTTTGGTTTTGTACTTTAAGGTAAGCCCTTGCCTTGAAAGTTATCTAGGCTTGACTCAAAACTTGGGATTGCCTAGCCCTGGCTTCCCAAACCTGTGCCACCATGTCTTCCTTAAGCAGATGCAATTGTCTGTTCATATTTACAAACCTTAACAAAACAATTTAATAAACTTCTTTTTAAAAGAAAGAAAACTTAATTTTTCTCTTTAAATTTAAAATTTTTTTTAACATTTGTCCTTTTTTTTTTTTTTTTTGATAGTTGGCCAGCTATGTGTATTCATGGAGATAAGAGTCAGCCAGAAAGAGATTGGGTACTTAATGGTAAGTCCAAAACTAGGCATTTTTCAATGGGTTTTTGCCTAAAAATCTATAGAAGAGACAGATAGTAAATATCTTGATTTTGCAGACTTAATAGTAGTTTTGTTGCTGCTGCTGCTGGCTTTGTAAGGTCATGGGCTGAGTTTAAGCAAAGCCTATTTGCAGAAATAGATGTTAATTGGATTTGGCCTGCTTTAGTTAATTGAATACTGGAAGTACTTTTTTTTTTAAAATCAATACCAGGGATTGAACTCATGACTACGCTTGCAAAAACAGGCACTTATGCCGCTGAGTTAAATCCCCAGCCCCTGGAAGTACTTTTGACAGGTCTCTAGGGTCCTTTAAAGATAATAAAAGTCACCGTTTTTGTTTTTAGTAAGTTTTTGGCTTTGTGGTTCAAGGAGTAATTATCTTTTGGGGAAAGTTTGGCAGATAAATGTTTTAAAGAAAAATAGTCTTTAGTCATAAGTTTGGGGTGTTTTCTCAGTCCTTGCTTTTCATGAGTGCTGTGTTGGGAGAAGGCCCATTGGGCAAAGCGGAATAGGCCATGTTTAGAAGTAACATGAAAGCCTTTTGAAGAAGTGACTTTTCTCCCTTGATTCCACATCCTTTAATGCTGTCACCTGCCTTGCCTTGATTGTGTGTGTAATTTGGCTGTTTTTTTTTTTTTTTTTTTTTTCTCCCCAGAATTCCGTTCTGGAAAGGCTCCCATTCTCATTGCCACGGATGTAGCCTCCCGTGGGCTAGGTTTGTATAGATAGGTGTCTCTGTTAATGGTTTATGTATCTTTTGGTTTAAAGATTTGTTTGTCATTTGAAATTTAAAGGTGTTTATACATCTGTTTAGTAAAAAGAGAAGGGTATAGTGGTGGTTTTTTGTTTTGTTTTGTTTTTTTGTCTCCTCCCCAAAATTTTTTTCGTCCTTGGTTTTTGGGGTTTTTTCCTCCCCCTTTTATTTTCAAAGTCTCTTCCTGCTCCTAACAAACAGGCTTTGGTCTGCAGCAAGGCCTAGGCATGACTCTTCAGTTAGGGAGAAGAGACACTCAGTTGAATGTTCAGTTTTAACTTCTTTCTGGTTAAGTCTTATTTTCTGGCTGGATAGAAGGAACCTAATTGAACCTAGCTATCATGAGCTAGTTTCTTCTGGTTATTCTTTCTCTCTGTCATCTTGTCTGTCGTACATAAACACATACAGAGACCCGGTTCTGTGAATGCTTATTAAATGAAATTTAATCAGCCTATATTTCATTCAGTTAAAATACACATTGCCCAGTGTTACTTGCTGAAATAAATTAATGATGGGCTCTCAGTTACCCCTTCCTCCCACCCATACTTGTATCAGAGATTTGTTAATTCTGAGAGCTTAATCAAAAGGTGTTCTGGAGGTTTTGGGCCCTTTCAATCAATCGTGCAGTACTTTAACCCATCATTCTGGGCTAAACAGGTCTGACTCAGAACTTTTATATTTCAAAAGAGATGATTTGTATCACTTAGGAAACCTTTAGACTATTGACAGGAATTTCTTGTCTAATAAGGTGAGAAGCACCATGTTCCTATATACCATTTAAAGAAAACAACCATTTACACTGGACTAAAACGTGGTGGAGCCTTTTTATCCATTGGACTTATTCCCTCCTTCAGAGGAGGTGACCTGCAGCCATGACGGAGAGTTGTCTCTGCCCTTTGAGGTCATGTCTGGAGCTGTGCCGTTAGAACTTGGGCCTGTTGGGAGAGAAGGCGGAGGCCTGAAAGCAGTTCTCACAAAAGCTTTCAGTGATCGTGGTTTTTAAACAGGCTTGCTATGTGCTGGTAGCTTCTTTGTGCATCTTGCCTAGACAATTAAAAATATTTGCTCCATGTTCCCCTGTATTTCTAAATCAAATCAATTGGCTACCATTAGAATAACTTAGACTCTTCATCCTGCCCCCTCTCATCCAAGTGAGGGGAGAGGGAAGGTACCTGAGTCTGTTTCTTGTTACTCAACATCAGTGTTTACTTTGGGCCCCTTTATTTGCTGCCTTGTAAAAATCAAAGGAGGGAGAAAACCCACCAAAATGGCAGAATTCTGACCAAGGTCCTACAAGATCCTGGAAAGTGAAGGCTTCTACCTCATAGACAGGGGTGCGATTTTCAGCTGAGTCACCAGGCCTTTTTTCACTTCCTGTCAAGCGATGGTCTCTTAAATGTTCCCTTCAGGTAAGTTCTTTGTTTCCCCTAATTTTATAATAGTCACCCTCAAGCGACCACAGTGCCCTTTCCACTGGGATATTTTTAATTTCTCCTTTTTTGTTTAAGCTACACACTGTTAAACTAAAAGTATTGAATTTAATTTGTTTTGTTTTTTAACAGAAGCTTTGCTATCAGCTGCAGATCACCCAATACATGGCCAAGGCAAATCTACATTGGCCCGAAGCAGCTCTAGATGAGCCTGTCTGGCTAGTCTGAGACCCTCCCAAGTTAGCGATTGGACATTTAGGCCATGTTGTAGGGCTTTGCAGACCACAGGTTCTTATTGCTGGCCAGAAAGTTCACTTTTCTATTTCTTACCCTGCTACAGCATCTTCTATAAAGGCAACAAGATACTATTGTGGCAGTGCATAAGTAACAGCAGGGCAGGCTTGCCTGGAGAAAACCCAAGTCTGCTCTTGCCCTCATGTGCCCTCGGGCAGCCATGGGCACGCACAGGACATCTTCATAGTGTGAAGAACTTGCACTATGTCCACCCCTTTGAGCCCTGCCAGAAGTATCCCCAAAACAAATATTAGTATCTGAACTGTTGGCTGCAGCCCCCGTGCTTTCTGCTAGAGAGTTACTGTGCTTCACCTTGCTCTGCTCTCCGCAGTCACACTCCATGTGTGTGACTTGGCAGCACTGTCCTAGCTCAGAAGATGCAGTCATGGCTCATAATCCTCTGTACCCCCTCACCCCACCCGACACCCCTGCCCTGTACGTTCTTTTTTTCATTATAGCATCTACGACCCTAGCCTGAGACTCACGCTGCCCCCTGTGATAAGTGCCTTCTCGTCTTTCTGGTGTGATTCAGGACTTTAGGGGTCAGTAACGACCGAGGAGCCTTTATTGTAATAAGAAACAGACATAATGCCCTTTCTTCACAAGCCCTACAACAGCTGAATTTTTTTTTTTTTTTTTTTTTTTAAATCATCTCCCCCTTCCCCCTGAAATTATTCCAGTCTGGGCAATAGATGCAGTCTGACCCTTTGGATGTAACTTACATTTTTTTATTAATCATTTTTTTCTACAATCACCCCAATTACCTTGGGGGAGGCGTTGGAGGACCTGAAATTTTTACCCGAACCCAGGTTCTCCGGCGCTTGGCAACCAAATGGGGCTACAGAGAAGCATCTAAGCCAGTTCACAGAGCGAGCGTGTGTGGGGACTTCTCACTGCCACGGACCCTTGATGCATGCTCCCCGCGCTCCAGTGGTCCCGTGTCAGAAGGCGGAGTTTTCGAAAGGAGGCCGCCAAAAATAAAAGGCAAAGAGACGGGATCGGCTGCAGCGGTTTCCCAAAGGAGGAGGGAGTGTGCATCGGTCTGGTAACAAACAGAGAATGTTTTTTAATTATTTCTATCACAAAAATCTGTGTTTTATCTAGGATATTTTCTGAATATTCTTTGTAAAATGCAGATTTTTTTTCCACAAAACATTAGGATTCTGTTTATTTGTTTGTTTTAAGTAGGTAAAAAGGCAAAAGTACATTTAGCTGAAAGCATTACACTAACATTTACATGATTTAAGTATTAGGAGATTACTCAGCCCAATTCCCAGCAGTGGACAGAATGTCAGATTGTGCCTCAAGGTTTCATGGTTTTTCCCACGTTCTTTGGCTATTAATGTCCCAGGTGCAGAGACTGTCTTAATCATTGGAACAAGTATTAAGTCTGAAATAACCTTGAGTTGAGCAAAAATTCATTCAGTAGAAGCTGGGCTTGGTAGTATAGTGAAATTTTAGTGTAATGTGCTCTTTTGGTAATCGAAAAGGGAAAGATAATCTGGATGTTTCTGCAGAGAAAAACCGGTGTGTGCTTTGACCAGATTTTTCTTAAGAGCAAGGAAATTAATGTAAAGTTGTGTTAAGTCGCTCTCTGAAAATGTAGTAATAAAGTATATGAAGCTCCTTTCTCATTTTGCTCTGTGACTGGTTTAAAGGTAAGTTTGTATGTTTTCGGTAGATTTTGCCAGGCTTCTCCCAACAGAGTAGAAGTGATTTGGCCCTGTAACTTAGCAGTGAATACTGCTTTTCTTCTGCACTCCAGCTTTGATAAGATGGCACTAGAATTTGCCAGCCTGAAGGCCAGTCTTGGCCCAACTCCTGTGTGTATGATTAAATACGAAGAGGCAGGAGTTCAGATACTTGGATGGGATTCCCTTAGGGTTTTACAGCCAGTGAAGATGCAGTATCCCATACATACCTCAAGAACCACTAATCCTCTTCTACTCTGTTGGGATGAGTCTTTTTTGTTCCCTTGCAGAGTGGTTACTAACTTCATCTTCTTTCCTCTTGCTGTCATCTGCATTCGTGCTTCCCACCTGTTGTTGGCATGTCCTTTACCTTCTCTTTCCCTGCCACGTCAACCTCCACACTGCCTCATCATCGACTGTGAAGATGTGGAAGATGTCAAGTTTGTCATCAACTATGACTACCCAAACAGCTCAGAGGATTACGTGCACCGAATTGGCCGAACAGCCCGAAGCACCAACAAGGGCACTGCTTACACCTTCTTCACCCCAGGGAACCTAAAGCAGGCCAGAGAGCTGATCAAAGTGCTTGAAGAGGCTAATCAGGCCATCAATCCAAAACTGATGCAGCTGGTGGACCACAGAGGAGGCGGCGGAGGAGGGGGTAAGGGTAAGTCCTGGAGTTCTCCAGGTACTGCCAAGGTATCTTCTTTTTTGTGTGTTGATTGTGCACTGTTTTTAAATCTTGTGACGGCTTTAAGTATGTTGCTTAATAACAAAGGCGAGTAGTTTGTAGTTCTCTTGACTTGTAGAAGAAAGTAATCTACTTTTACACCACAGTTTTTGTAGGTTATAATCTAAAGCTGACCTTTCAGTTTTGAAGTACATGCTGCATATTCATAATTAAGGTAGCCTATAGTTGCTTTATACCTTCAAAGTACTTGGTATATTAGATTTTCAGTTTTCCATGTGACATATCTTTAATTGTACTTTAATTTTAGTAGAAACTGAGGTATTACAATTGATTCTACACAGTTAGGAAATATACTAGGATCCGGACTTGCTAATTCCCTGTTTAGTGTGGTGAATGGAGTTTCTAGGTTAACTTTCACAAAAAAGGCCTAGCTAGATGTGGTGTAATCCAGAATCTTAGGAGGCTGGGGAAGATTGCAAGGAGGGTAGCAAGCTTGAGGCCAGCCTTAACTGTGTTGACCCTGTGTTGAAAAATGAGAAAGGCCTAGGAATACTGCTCAGTGGTGGAGTACTTCCATACACACACGCAGCTCTGGGTTCAACCCTTAGTACCACAAAAGAGGAAAGGGTCCAAAAGGGCAGAAAGTTAGGTCAAGTACTGACTTGGGATAGTTCTAGCAAAAATCAAGAAAACCATGTGGAATATGTCCCCTTTTGAGTTTTTATGTTTGGTTTGTGTACCTCAAATTAAAAAATACTTTTTATGTCCTCCCATCAGGAGGTCGCTCTCGATACCGGACCACTTCTTCAGCCAACAATCCCAATCTGATGTATCAGGATGAGTGTGATCGGAGGCTTCGAGGAGTCAAAGATGGAGGCCGGAGAGACTCTACAAGCTATCGGGATCGTAGTGAGACCGATAGAGCCGGTTATGCTAATGGCAGTGGCTATGGAAGTCCAAATTCCGCCTTTGGAGCACAAGCAGGCCAATACACCTATGGTCAAGGCACCTATGGGGCAGCTGCTTATGGCACCAGTGGCTACACAGCCCAGGAGTATGGTGCTGGCACTTACGGAGCTAGCAGCACCACCTCAACTGGGAGAAGTTCACAGAGCTCTAGCCAGCAGTTTAGTGGGATAGGCCGGTCTGGGCAGCAGCCGCAGCCACTGATGTCACAACAGTTTGCACAGCCTCCAGGAGCTACCAATATGATAGGTTACATGGGGCAGACGGCCTACCAGTACCCCCCTCCACCTCCTCCCCCTCCGCCTTCTAGAAAATGAGTCCACTTGAGGTGGGGTGACTTGTGCAGACTTAATTACATTTAAAGGAACACCATCTTTCTTTTTATTTTCCTTCTTCCCTTTATTTTTTTTATTTTTTTCTCCCAACCATTGTGTTTTGCCCTTTCATGCAGATTAGTTAGAATTCACTGCCAGGTTTCTTCTGCCTGCCAAAATGGTCCAGTCTGTAATAACAGATTTTGTAAAAAGTATATAACCAACTGGAAGAAATTTATTTCTTCCCCCAACTTTGCATGTTGAGGATATTTGAGCTATTTTTCATTTTAAAAGAAAAAGTGAGGTATTAGGCCCTTTCATGGGAGCCAGTTTTTCCTTGTCCTGAGTTGGTGGGGAGGGAAGGGGGCTGAATTGTTCTGCAGAAGAAAATGGCATCTATGCTATATATGCTCTCATCCCTGGGTTAGAAAACCAAGAGGGGTTTCCTCAAGTTAGGTCTGGTTCCTCAGTTTTTAAACAGTGCTTTGCTGTGGTCATTTTGGCTCATGATAGCTGAAGTGCATTTGACAGTTAAAATTTCCTAATTGGTTTTGTGTCCCTTACACACTGCTTTCCCTCTCTCCCCTTCAAGTTACTTGAAAAATAGCCAGTTAATGTCAGTTTAGAAATTGAATTGCTGAGTCTACATGTATCTTTTAAATTAACTGCAAGCATTTCTCACACTGGTTAAACTGTAGCATTCGGCATCTGGGTAAAAGCTACCTATTTTTCTTCCCTATATAACCAAGGACCATCTATGAAATTGATTGTCTAGCCAGACAGCTCCTGTGAGCAAATGAACGTAAATGCTCACTGGAAATTTACTTCATTAAAACAGTTAAGTCTGTATTCGCCAGCAGTGTAAAGTTATTTATAATATACTCAAAATGGGCAGATTTTTATTTTAAACTCAGTATTTGTAGAGGTAGAGTGAAGAGCAGCTCTTTGCCAGCATCTCTACCCCTTTGGCCAAATTTTTGAGCGAAGACTAAAGCCCTCTAGTGTCTTTTGTCCTCTGCAGTGCTGTGTGACAGCCTCTGGATGCACATTGTGCCCTGCATCCTCTGCACTCAGCTCTTCACAGGTAGGTAGTGCTTAGGAGACGATCTGGAGGACGAGGGCCTTAGGGTGTTTTTTGTTGTTTTAATACTTTTCCTATGAATGAAGGTAGGTGAATTTGTCCCCTTAGTAAGACTCTTGCTGAGACTTCATAGTAAGTGGACCTGGAAAGGATTGTTCTTGGTTCACTGTAAATAAGACAGGGTAATCAGACAGTCCCAGAATCCCTTTTCAAGATCCAGTGTGATGGGAGTGTTCATTTTTATTCTGGTACTGGTGTCGTGTGCACACAGTGGAATTAAAGGGGGAATGTACCACTGTGTTCTTTGCAGCCTGAGAGTGCTTGCTAGTTTATAAGGTCTAAATATTGAAATACTTCAGATTTTTGCTTTTGTTTTTGTTTTCCCTTTAAAATCCTTCAGGGAGAGAGAAGGGATGGTTTCAGAGGGGTTCTGACAGTATGATTCAGTGTGCACCATACAGGTAGGTCCTCGGCATAAGCTGATGTGTATGCATGTTAAAGCCTTTGACATCCTTATTTGTTTTTCGCCTCCTTTTTCCTTTCCTTTCCTTTCGTTTCCCTGTCTTAAAGAGGTGGAGGCTTCAAGGGAGGATGGTAGGAATAGAAGAAATGTGGCAAAGTGCTCTTTCAGATTGCAAACCAAAGTACTGTTGCTGCCACCACCACCACCCTCATCCCCCCAAAAAGGTGTCTTAGGTTCTGACAAGGCTGTTGTGGACATTTTCTACAAAATTCCTAAACGTTTTTTTTTAAGCCTAGAGCTTCTACCATAGGAGATGTCTTACTCTATGCAGTTCCTACAAACATCCGTTTCAGGGCAAGGTCTCAGTATGCAAGCAGCAGCAGGAGTGCTTGCTTCCCTTTTCCTGCAGGGACTTTGTTATTAAATAACAAAACAGCAAGTTCCAAGTGCTTCTGTGGTCTGAGCACAGCAGAAATCTAGCAAAATTCTTTCTGTTAACCCTAAGGTAACTTGTACTTAACGTGTTATAATACAGGTTCTGCTCTTGAGAACGTGAGCAAACAAGTCTTCATTTGAAACGTAGGCAGAGGGTTTCAGTATTAAGCTATGGGCTGCTTCTCCCCAGTCCCTCCCTTGCAATTCATTGTGCGGACTTCTTTCATCTAAAAGGTTGGTGGCTTTTGCTTGGGATCAGTGCTTTCTACTCATATCCTTGCTGGTCTCTGAACACATTCCTGTTGCGTTAAGACTTGAAAGATTTGTAGATGTGTGATGTTCAGGCACAGGATGCTAAGAGCTATGTTACTATTCTTAGTTTGTAAATTGTCCTTTTGATACCATCTTGTTTTCTTTTGTAGGTATAAATAAAAATACTGTTGACAATAAGGTGTGAATTTTTTATTGCTCAAAACTTGCTTCAAGACAACAGTTGGATATTAGATGGAGAGATCACCTTATTAGCACCTAAAACAGAAAGTGGGGGAGGGTTGGTTTTAACAGGGTAGGAGACTTGACAGGTCAGCACATCAGAAAAGTGGTGGTAGCAGCAGTGGGGCCACCCAAGCTGGCTTCTGGGATGAGAGCACTGAGGAGCAGGCTCACAGGAACCATGATAAAGAGGCAATCCAGTTTGAAAGGTGAGGCACAAATGGCGTCATGTTTGGCCAAAGCTAGTAAATTTCCTTCACTTACAGCTTGAAAGCAGTGTGGAAGTAAAATAACGTTTCATTTTTCCAGGCTACCACCATTGTATTTTTTTTTTTTTTTTGGTCCTCATTTTTATCGGTACCGGGGATTGAACTCACAACTGCCTGCTTGCATGGCAGGTGCTTATGCCGCTGAGCTAAATCTCCAGCCCCCATCCACCACTGTATCTTGATTACCTCAATTTGGTCTACCTGGAAAATGGAAATTAGCATAAACTGGCCCCCGGTGTTCAGCTGATCTGCAGTTGGGGCATTCTTACTGACATGTCTTTCCAGGTGGTTCTATTGCTTGGCATGAGTCTTGTACTGGGGCTTTGAAGGACCAATGGTTTATTGTTCCATTCATAAGTGAAGCACCTCGCAGGTTTCTCCTTCCAGTTGATGTTGAGGCCCCAACGTGTAGTTTGCCCCCATTTTTCATCACCCCTGTTGAGGGTTTAAGAGGTCCTACCAATAAGGTCTGGGTAGAACAACCAGTTACTTGCTGAGGTTCATACCAAGCATTTTTCTAGCTTTACCATGTTCTCATGGGTAAGTTCACCCATGGTTCCTTTAGTGTCCTTTTTAGGGTATAGGTGTTCTTTGAAGGCCCTCAAATTGGCATTGGAAGACTTAACTTCTTTCCTTTAAGGACTGGAAGAAAGTGGAGACAATGTGTTAGAATTTCCCATACTGACCAAAGGACTGCTTGCTTTGTGCATGGTCTTGGTATCATTTAGTCTCCAGCTCAGTGTCAGGAATAGTCGCATCAAGGGCAGAGTGGGTCTCAGGGTAACCAGGGACACACTGACCCCCAGTGTAAACTTGGCAGTTAACCTGAATTCCTTTATTTCATGCTAGACCGCGCAGTCCCATCAGTTCCTCAGTGTTTTCCTACAGCCTTTTGCCTCTGCTGATTTAATCTGCACAGTTGAAGCTGTCTTACAAGTAGCTGGTGTCCCTGGGACTCAAACTCAGGACCTTGCACTTAGCAGGCAGGTACTTAACGATCCCTGGCCCTATGGCTCAGTTTTTGAGAGCATCTCACCAACCTTCAACTCTACACAGTGAGTTGGCTGGCCTTGGACCTGTGGTCTCCTAAATGCCAGGATTACAGGCCTGTGTCACTACACCCGCCAGTGGGTTGGGTGGTGGTTTTATGACCCCCTCTAGTTGTAACTTGGCAAAAAGGAAGTATAAATCCTTTACCCTGGTTGTGAGGGTCCTGTGAGCTGACCTGGGTGACACCAAGTTTGTGGATTTGACCCCCACCGGACTGTCCCTCGGTCACACCAAACTGGCTGCTTTAGAATGTTTTTGTTTTCCCAACTAGTACATCAGATAATCACCTCCCAGCGCCCTCCCTGTACAGTGCATGCAATACCTTCACGGGTTTTCTATGGCATCTTCATTATTCACCTAAGTAGCGTGGAGGGAAAGCTGTGGACAGTTGTTACTCCAGCACAGCAGAGACAAGAGCCCAAGCCATTCCCCATAAAACTGCTGCTGGGCCAGCACCTACCTTTGGTCACATACAAGTAGAAGAAGTCACAGTAGAAGATGGTTTGCACTACCCCAGACACCACTGCAATCTGGTCATAGAAGTTCTCGGTCTGGTAGCGCCTGATCCAGTTAGCCAGGTAGAGCGCCCGATACAGCCCCAAGAAGAACAGGTAGTGTGTGGTGATGGTCTCGGCCTCTCCGGTCTTGCTGATCATGAAGAGCTGGGGCAGGATAGCCACTGACTCTAGGTATATGGAGAAGGTCCAGAGGATCTGAGGCAGACAGAGCCACAAAGAAGGTTGAGCAAGGTCAAGAAGGGCCTGTCTGCAGGGACCCAAACACTAGACAGTTGCTGGAGAGCGTTTAACAGGGATGGGCAAAACAAAAACTTGAGGTTCTCCAGCGTTTCGGGCAGGAGAGGGGATGCTGGGCATGCAATCCAGGTTCTTGTGACTCCCAGCAAGTGCTTCATGGAGCTGTACCCCAGCTGCCAAGAGCTTTAATGTTTGTTTAATTTGCTTTTTTGTGATGCTGGAACCCAGGCCTTGTGCATGCTGAGCAGCCATTTAACCATTAAGCTACACCCCCCAGCTCCAAACTAATATTTTCTCAAGAATACACTCTCACCTCTGCAAATAACACAGCAAAGAACACAGCACGATGTTTCTATGGGACAATTTTAAGGCTGCAGTTTTGTTGAATAAACTTGCATAACTAAAGACAGTCTCAAAATACAGTCCATAAACAGCCCCAGCAGCGTGGACTGTGCTCCAGGGGTCTGCTCACAATACGCTGGACTGAGGTCTCAGCCAGAAGGACTGGTGTGTGTGGCTGGCGTACACCGCGGCTATTAGACATGTGCAGCGACAACCACAGTTATGACACAAGCCCAGACTCCACTTTGGGCCACAGGGAAGGATGCTGGGGGACCCTTCTGTCGTTGGCATCAGCACTCCATCCCTCTCACCTCCAGCGGCGTGAAACTATAGTTCTCCAGGAAGGAAAGGCCGATGACCGGGACTAGAAGAAACTCCAGGCGGAATGTGTCATTCTCAATGTCAAACGTTTTACGGAATTTCCCATAGATCATGTACACTGTGACGTAGGCACAGAGGAGAAAAACCACCTAAAAAGGGCGACAGACATGGAAATCTGTGATGTCAGCTGCCAGGCTTTGAAGCCCGCCAAACCCACTGGCCGAGTCCTATCACCATGCCATAGTGAAGTTTTGCAGCACCTCTTGGGGCCATGGCCTAGAATCCCAACTTAAAGACACTTGTGAAGTAACTCCATGTTTCTAGCAGGGCCTAACAGTGCTAATGCATTGTCAGTGGTACCCTAGTTGTCCCCTCCATCTGCAGTGCATTGGACAAAAAACAGGACCAACTGGGTGCAGTAGTGCACACTTGTAATCCTGTCCCTCAAGAAGCTGAGGCAGGAGGTCACAAATTCAAACCTATCTTGTACTGGAATAAGACCTTGACTTAAAACACCAAAAATAATGGGGAAAAAAGTCTTTCTTGGGATCCAGCGGTGACAGTCAAGCCCCTAAAAGCCCAACTCCTTGGGCCAGGAATTTAGCTCAGTGTTGCAAGGTCATGAGTTTGATCCTTGGTACCAAGAAAATTTAAAAACTCAATTCCCTACATGTGCATGACTGGCTTGTAAGCATTCCACACATGAATTGCTTGGCTACAGTTCCTTTAGAAAATCTCTGCAGTAGCTGTCCTGTGGTGGGTAGTGGTTCCACTGAGCTATGCCTCTCATCCTCTAGACCAGTGCTTCTCCAACAAGATACACCAAAATGGCACAGATGGCCACCCTCATGGTGGCTTGGTGGGCCGCCTCCTACCCTCACCCGACCTGAAGCCTCACCTTCATTACTGTGTTGTAGACGGAAATGAAGTTGCTGAAGAGGTCCAGGTACCTGGTGGTGAAGACAAGGGCGAAAAGGATCTGGCTCTTCCCCGAGATGCCTGTGCCAGAGAGGACAGGAGGTAATGACAAGAGAGCCCGAGGCCACCCTCAGCCCAGGACCGCAGAGCCTGGAGCCAGGATGGCCTGGAGTCACGCTGTCTTGTCCTGAGGGTCAGGCAACTCAGCTTTCCCTTCCCTCCCTGAAGTCCAGCTCCTTTCATTCTGCTCTACTCTGTCTCCCAAATAAGGACTCCAGCACCAAGTTCCCAGAGTTCCCAGTCCCGCACAGGGGAGGGTGTTGAGGGTTAGCTGCAGTGACAATCCCGGAACACTGTCTCTCCCAGGACAAGGAACACTGACTCCACAGCGCAGATCCATTCACCAGTGAGGCCAAAGCCAGCAGCGGAAGGCAATGGCCACAGGTGCATTCCATTTAATTTTCCAAAATGCAAAGATTTTAAAAACTCTTTCGCTAATTCTAAAAATTATGGCTCCTTTTACTCTGTATAAAACAAAAATCAGTCCTGACGGTGTAACTCAGTAGAGTGCGTACCTCACATGTACAAGGCCCTAGGTTTTATTCCTGGCACCAGAAAAACAGAAAGTATAAAAAGATACGAAGAAAAGTCTCTGCGCCTCGCGGATGGCCGTGTGTGGGCATCACACAGCAGCACCCGTGTGTTGAGCTGACTCGGCTTTTCCTCTGCTCGCTCTCTCTCTCTCTTTTTTTCCTTCCACTTGTTATCAAAGAACTTGAGATTTCAGATTGCACACAAAGCCCCGCATCCCTTCACCCAGCCCCACCAATGTGGACTTTGCCTCTGATGACTGTTTGCCACTCATGCCATCAATTCGAAAGCCAGAGCAAGGTTGGGGCTTCCCACTGACTCTGGGCCACACCTGTCCTCCCAGTTTCCCACCCTGTCCTCTCCCCACTCCAGGAGCCAAACCCGGGGAGTCCCCACCGCTCTTGTCCCCATGCTCCTTGGGTTCCTCCGATCACCAGTGACAAGCCACGGAGGCAGTTCCAGGGCCAGGCACGGACATATCCCCATGCCACAGCGAACCCAGCCCGTCACCTCTGCAAACTACTGCCATCCACAACACCCACGTCTCCACACCCCAAAGCCAACTGCCCTGGCTCCCTCAGTGCCCTGAAGACCCCCACGCTGCTAGCTGCTCCCTCCTGTGGCTGTGTCCTCCATGCCACCTAATCCTTGGCTGCCTGGTCCCCTCCACTGCCCCAGCCACGCCTGCACCTGGTCACCCCCACGGCTAGGCGCCTCCAGCTCCAAGCTCTCCTCTGAGTTTGGCCTGTTTCCACCTGACTGCTCTGTTCCATGGGGTGAGCGGCACAAGACCCAAACTCACCACAGTCCAGCCCAAATTTCTCATCTCCCCGACCCCTAAACCTCCTCCTCCTCTCTTCCTCAAATATGTCCCCACCTTGCCCTTGAGTGAGAAAACCCAGGGCTACCCTTGTCTCCCTCCCTTTCCTTCCTCAACCCACTTTTGAAAACAGGTGATTCCCACCGATGGAAACAGATGGGAAACAGAGCCCCTGGTCCTGCAGTGAGCCGGGCACGGGTGAAAAGAAGCCCACGTCTCCAGCCACCGAGGTCCTGCCAGGCCCAATCGGACCTTTGCACACACAGGCTAGTCCCAGCCACCACACTGCAGCACTTAATGCCCCGAAAAAATGGATCATTTAGTCTGTCACTCAGACTGTCCCTGCCTGGTGGTTCCCACTCTGGATCTGCTCTGCCAAGCAAGCACCCTGGTGGGGCCCAGGTGCCCAGCACGGTGCCACGGAGAGCAGACAGGCAACGGCGCCCCTCCAGGTCCAAAAACAAAGCACAGGGATGATTCCACCACCGCCTGTGTCCCCGGCTACTTTCCCAGGTCCACAGCAACGCTCTCTGAAGCCACCAGCATCTGTGCAGCACAGCCTGGAGCCTGGCAGGTAGCAGCTCCACCCCGCCCTCTCTCCATCCCTCTCTGCTCCAGACAGCCCTGCTTCAGGGCCTCTCCTCAGCCTCCCTCAGCCTTCCACGGCTCCCCAGTCCTAACTTCCCGGACTCCTCTCCCTCCGATGGACCCTCCCTGGGACATGCTCGGTCCAGCTCTGTCACAGTGCTGTGACCTCTGTATCTGTATCTCCTTCTTGGACCAGCACACCCTACCCTCCAGGACCAGCATAGAGCTGGACACTCCTCCACGAAGCTTTCTCAGCCTCACCTGCCTTCGGGGAGCCTGGGCTCACAGTGTCCCCTCACTCCAGAGCAAAACACAGGTGGTACCTGGACCCCAGCACCCGGACCACCCGAAGGAACAAAGACGGCTGCTGAAGGCTGGGGTAGCCCCTGACTGCACTGGCTCTCCGTCGGCCCTCTCCTAACCCTGGAACTCCTTACCACCCTGGGCAGACCCGAAGCCCCCTCCACCCCACCCCGGCCTCTGCCTGGCGGCAGCTCCATACCCACCTAATCAGGCTGGCCAGCTGACGCCACATCACAGGCCCGGGAAGGGATGGGGCCCAGTCTGCGGAGAAGGCTGGGCGGGGCAGGGGAGCAGAGGGAGAAGGACCCTGAGTTTGGGGGCCACTGCCTGAGTGTGCACCCTCTCTTCTCCAACTCCCTCTGTGGGCAGAGGTCAGTGAGAGTCACCGCTGGGATCCAGAGGGCGTCACCTCCGCGTGCAGCTCGCCCAACTCGCCATGGTAATAGGGCCAGCGCGGAGGAGGCCAGGCTGGGGTGTGAGTGGAGGGCGAGCCTGCCCTTCGCCCCGTGCTCTCCGTGGCCGGCCCTCCTGTGACACTGCACAACCTAACTGCTTTTTTGATTTTTGGAAGCTGAGCGCCATTTGAGCGGAAGACCCCACCCCACATGGCCACCCTGCATCGCCCCTCCTGCAAGCAAAGGGCCGGGGCAGGGCCCCCCGCATGCCTTCCGGGGCGCCCCTCACCCTTGCAGCTCTTGGACGTCCAGATCTTCCCCAGGAGCAAGATCATGGCCAGGAGGTGGCTCAGGTCGCCGAGGATTCGGAACACGTTCATGGCCCTGCCCGCCGGTCCTGCGCACGCCCAGCAGCGAACTTTCAGCAAACTTTCTGGCGCGGGGTGGCTGCCACGTTCCCGGCTACCGCCTCGCCTCGAAGCGCCCGTGGCCCGCTCAGCGCCTACCGGTTCCGCGCGCTCCCGGCCGCCGGGCGGTGACGTGGCCAGGCCGGGCACTGGGTGGGGAGCCAGGAAGCTGCGCCGCCGGGAGATCCGCCTCCCGCCGTCCTGCCCTGCGCCGGGCGGGGCGCCACAAGGGTCTCCGCCTTCGCTCCTGGGAAACCAGAGTCATCTGAGGGGACCCTGGGCGGGCCACCTACTCCCAGCCTCCCAGTTCCCCTTTCTGTCCAGGCCCCTTCCCCACCCTTCATTTTCTCTGAGACAGGGTCTCGGAGCCCAGGCTGACCTCAGACTCACTTTGTATCCATGCTGGCCTCAAACTCGCTGGCCTCCTGCCTCGACTTCCTGAGTGCTGGGATTTCAGGCCTTTATGGTTTAACCCGCCTGAAGACAGTGGTGCCTGGGTGAAATGGGGTCCTGCATGCCAGTGTGACCCACTGCTATTGTCCTGCCCTGGACTTGGAACTCGTCATGGGGCAGGGGGCTGGGACCGGGTCCCTCCCTTACCTGTGAATTTGGATATCCAAGATGGCACTGCCCAATCTCATGGGGGGTGGGTGACAGTGATGACAATTTCACAGGGGGAGTCTGGCTGACCATTCCAGCCTCCTTGCTGTGGGCTTTGTTTTTCCATCTAAAGAATGGGACTGCTGCTCGAACCAGGTGACACTTGTTGGGGGTATCCAGTGCCATCGTGCATGCCTCACCTTGGTGTGTGGAGATATTAAAGGGGCGCATAGGCCAGGGGAGCCCCAGAGGCTGAGCAGCAGGAAGGTTGGAGGACCCCTCAGCAGGTCGGCCACCTTCTCTGGGCGTCAGTCTCTGCATGCATAAGAGTGGAGTAGATGAGCCAGGGGCTCTCCCTGTCCTCTCCTTGACCCCGGTCACCACTTCCCAATTCAGGATCCTCATGCTCCCCCCTCACTGGCCTTGTCCCACGCACTCTGTCCTCCTCCTGCCACAGCCAACCCCAGCTATGACTCCAGCACCAGGCATCCTCAGAGGCTCAAAGTGTGACCCAAGGACTCTGAGCTGCTACGGCCTCCTGGGGGCAGGTCTGCCCTCCCCAGACCTCCTGCCTGGGGTGATCAGACTCTGCAGTCCCCCCACTCCCCCAGCTGTTGGAAGTGTGTGTACACGAGAGTGAGAGGCACCGTCTGGGCAGCATGCAACAGGAGGCACTGCGATCCCCATTTATACGCAAGGAAACAGGCACAGATTCGCTTAAGGTCACGGTGCCGCCTTCGCTGGAGCCCTGGAGCCCGGAGCCCGGCACTGCCTGACTGCAGGGTGCATGCGGTTGATTGAGTCATCCCATTACACCGTGGGTGCCTTGGCAGGTGACAGCTCCCTGTCAGAGAGGTGGGTTTCAGGGGGTGGGGCCCATTTGTCCGAGAGGGGCACCAGGCCAGGGCTAGGCACATCCAGGTGGGTCGGGTCGTCTCCATCCCACTCACTGCTCTGCTCCACAGGAGATGGGAGCCACAGAGGGGAGCTGCAGGTCCAAGGCGCCAGCCAGCGCCTCCCTGGGCTGTGGAACAGGACGGGCCTCTGGTCCCTGATCCCCGCAGAACTCTCCCCGATGCCCCATCCAGCCGGCGCCTGGAGGAGGCGGTAGCTATTTGCAGTCCTCAGGTGTGGCTGCATCCTCTCTGCCCAGCCAGCTGGCAGCTCCTGCTCAGCGCCCACCTCCTCCCAAAGCAGGGAAGAGCACGTGCATTTGCCATTTGGCAAAACATCTGTCCTCCTGGGAGATGGTCCCCCCACCCCCACCCCCGATTGTTCAGGGAGGGGGCTGGACGAGGCTGGCATCCTCCTCTTCCCTTTTGTCCCAGGGGACCCCCGGGGACCTGGTCAAGGCTGGGAGGCGGCAAAGGAGAGAGCCCAGCTGAGGCTGAGTGAGCCTCGCTCTGGCCTACACTCTGTGCTGAAAGCCTCGACTTTCCTAGCTGTCCAGTGGGGATGTGGAGGACAGAATGGCTGCTTATGCGTGTTCCTTGCACCCCATCTTCCCACCACCTCCCCACCACAAAACAGATACTCAAGCCTCAGTTTACACAGGAGGAAACTGGGCCTCGAATTTCCCTTCCCTCCCCCAGCACTGCGATCCAAAAGCTCTAGCACTTGGTTCCAGTCCTTCGTGCTTGCTGCCTCCTTCCAGCCATCCTGTATCCCACGTAGGGTGTCTCTCAAAGCTCCCCACGAGGGAAGGGGAATCTTCACTTTTTTGTTCGTTTTCAGCTGGGGTTTAAACACAGGGCCTTGATACTGCATGTTATAGATTAAAAACTGGTGGTCAACTGAACACCAATCAGCACGGTGCTGAGCGTGGATGTTCCACCAGAGCAAAGTCGCCAGCATAAATAGAAAGTGGAGAAGACGAGCGAGGCGTTGTGGGTTCTCTAAGCGTTGCTGTCTGAGCTGTTGGTTCTCCTGGAGAAGCTCTGGTCCTCGCACTGAGCATTGCTTCCTGGCTCCGGAGGGGAAGACGTGTGCCGCTTGGTCTCCAGGATGAACTGATCATGCTGCTTCCCGGCATGTACCCGACTGTGGTTGTCGAAGGAGGAGCTCGGGGCCTCCGTGTCGCTGAGGATGGCTGTGGCACCTTCAGATAGCCCTGGTCTTTGTTGTGAGTGTGACTTCTCGGCTCCAGCATAGAACCCTCATCCCACTAGCACAGCTCCTTCACCCCGCTGGCATGGACTTTCTGGCTTCCACCGCTGAGCTGTGGGCCTTCCTGGCACAGATCTGTAAAAGATACTGGCGTGAGTCCTTGTGGGCTCTGGTCCTCCAGTTGGACTCATGGGAGGCACTGCCATGGGCTCTGGGTCTTCATCTGGACTCATGCTGGACATTGCTGTGGGATCCAGGCCCTTGGCTGAATACTCTGTCTTTGCTGTTGTGGACAGATTTCCTGCACTTTCTTGTGTTTCAACTCTGGGTGCCCATCATAGATAATATTATAAATCCTGTGTCCTGATTCTGATTGTTCTCCGCCCACCCTGACCACAGCACTGCACTACACCTGCAGTGCCCTCCCCTTTTTTATTTCTTATTTTGAGTCAGGGTATCACTAAGTCACTAAATTATCCAGGCTAGGTTTGAAGTTGGGATTCTCCTGCCTCAGCTTCTCAGAGAGCTGGGATCACAGGTGTCTCCTGCCATGCCCAGCCGCCTTGCCCACTTGAAACACTTCACCAGCAGTCCATGCCAGCCCTCCAGCCATCTGAGCCACTGGTCATGCTCTGTCCCCAGTGAAAGGAGATTCTCAGCAAGTTCCTCACTTCTCTGAGTCTTGGTATCCTCAATATCCTGACATCCAAAAATGAACCTCTTGTAGGGAGGGGAGCCAAAAGGGTCAGTTCATTCAGTTCAAAAGGCAAGGACTGTTTTTCTTTTAATTAACAAAAATAAAATTGCAGGCTGGGGATTTAGCTCAGCAGCATAAGCGCCTGCCTTGTAAGTGCATGGTTGCGAGTTCAATCCCTGGTACTGATAAAAAAGAAAAAGACAAAAAAAAAGAAAAGAAAAGAAAAGAAAATTGCATGTTCAAGATCAGAGTTGGGGGGTTTATCTATTGAGGAAAAAAATCTGTCTACATAATCTTTTACTGTGTTGGCTTGAGCTGTCACCACCGGGTGGACCGTCCTGGGTGGAAGGAAATGGGTATGGACAATGAAAATCACACACACCCTGGGGTGAACGCAGATGCAGCCTTGGGGAGCCTTTGGGCATTCTGTGCAGACCACACAAGAGGAGAGAGATTACCCTCGCTTAGGGCAGAGAAGATTGTGGTTAAGGAAGGTATCAGGGCAAGCGATGTGCTAAGGGCATTGAAGGATGAGTAGGAGCTTGCAAGGGCAAAATCTGGAGGAAGACAAGAGTCCTAAGGAGCCATAAATGCATAAGGATAATGGCCTGCTCTTCCGGTGCATTGTATTCGTACTGTTCTTTGAAAGAAACCAAGGAAGGAAGGATGAGAAAATCAGAGTAAATTCAAATCTGAACCTCCACTGAGGGGGGCTCCCCAAGTTTATTCAGTCTCTTGGGGTCACAGTTTTTGCCTCAATAATCTAGGACTAAGCAGTGATCGCATATGGTAATACAGGGCCACAGCTGGCTAAGTACTCTGAGGTTTGCAAGGGGTACACTGAGTCCCAGAGAGGAGCTGTAAAAAAAAAGCTAGAGAAAAACAGAGACAGCGCCCTTAAAAGGCCATTCATTGCTCCCCAGCTGCACTCCCTCCCCCCCCCCAGCTGTAACAATTCGGGGCGCTGGAACCCTTCTGCATCTCCATCCAGGTGGTGGTGGTGACACGGGTTTTATACACCGGCAAAAATTCATAAAACTGCACTACTGTTTGTAAGCTACATCTTAAGAGGGAGGAAAAAAGATACAATAACTTGGGCCACGCTGCCCCGCCCTTGCGCTGGCGACAGGTGTCTTTCGGAGACCCGGGCGCTGCCTTGTCTCTGCCGCCGCCGCCGCCAGCCGGGTACCCGGAATCAGCTGCAGCGCCGGGGCCTGGCCAGGTTCCCACGGCAACGGCAAGCCGCGTTCCGCTTCTCCGGAGTGACAAGGCGCGAGCCAAGACCCGGAGCTCGGATTCTGGAACCGGAGCCAAGAGCCAGGCTGGAGGGAGATCGGGGCCAGCCGGTGAGAGAGACAGAGAGGCCGCCCTTGGGCTAGCGCTGGCGTCCCGAGGGCACCCTGCAAGCACCGCTGCCCAGCCCTGACTGTGGCCCCGAGCTGCCGCGCGCACACCGCTGCCGGGATTCCTTCTCAGCTTCGCAGGTGGGGAGACAGGGCTCGGAGCATCCCCAACATCGCTAGAGAAAGAGGGGCAAAGCCGTTCTGTGACCCCTGTGGCCTGCTCCCGCCCAGGCAGCGGACCAAGGGGAAGGCCCAGGGCCTGGGCCCCCGGCAACTCCCTGGGCTGTGCTAGTAACTTTGCCTGTGGTCTCCCACCCACTCCCCTCTCCCTCCCGGAGATGACACACGATCACCAGTGTCTCCGAGGAGCTGTCAGCGAGTGTGTGAAACGACTGAGTGTAAAAAGCAGCTTGTAAACTGTAAAGTGTCTTGCACATGTCAAGGAGCATCGCTGTTGCCTCTATTGCCATATCCTCTTCGTGACCCCCAGGGCAGCCTGGGTGACACCCAGTTGCACAGGGAGCTCGGTCTCAGAACCCTCCATGCCCAGAGATTCACAGCCTGAGGTGAGTCTGCTCCACCTTGCCCTCCTCACGGAGAGGCCCGAGCGAGGCACGGTGGCTCCCAGAGGCCAGGGACCCTCCGGTCCCCCAGACTTGGAGGGGACCACAGAGGCAGCACCCTCTGCTTTCTGCCCTGTGGCTGGGATGTAGGAGCTCCCCACTAATCGAGAATGTCTGGAGCCCCGGACCTGGCCCCTGGGACACAGGCCCTCGGGTAATGAAATGTCCTTTGGAGGCCTCATGCTGGGCATGTGTTCGGACAGTCTCTGTGAATGTGTGCGTCATGATGGTTGTGACTGGTGTGTGTGCTGGGCGTACACCCATCAGTGTCTGTGTGTGTGTGTACTTGAGCGCGTGTCTGTGACTGCGTGGACGGTGCACGCAGGTGCAGGCTGTGCGCCTGTGGCATATGTGTTTACCACGCACCTCCTCACGTCTTTGCGAGCATGTGCAGATCTAAGCGGGCAGGTGTCGGGCTGCACTCCTGGATGCCTGGCACCATGAGCACTGCGGCAGAGGGGATGGCAGTGTGCTGGGGGTCTTAGGGCAGCACTTCCGTCTTCCCCCTCACCTGGATGACCTTCCCCTGAAGACTGCATATGGGAAGCCCACAGGCATGCCCAGGACCAGCTCCTGTCCTGTCCACACAGCTCTGACAGGGCTCCCAGGGGCCAGGGTAGGTGGGTGGCCTGGAGCTGGGCTAATGTGACTCCCCTCTCTGCCGGGCCTCCTCCCCTCCCCACAGCAGGAGCAGCAGCGGGAAAGGTTGGCGGAGGGGGGCTATTTTGGGAGCGTCTCCTTAGCAACAGCTGCCACGGCCGTCTGTGGCGGTTTTTCTATAGGTGCTAAAATATTCCACCCTGGTGACTACTGAGTGCCGGGGTGGGGGGCGCAGAGGGCGGGAGAGACCCCTACGGTCCTCATCACCAGGACACAGCCTGCCAGGATGGGCCCTGGACCTCTAGACCCCCAAGATCCCTTGTCCCACCTCTGGACCTTGCCCTTTGGAGCTGCCAGGATTTTGGAGTCCAGAGGCAGCCAGCTGTGTCCTGATTTGATTTCTCCCCTACGCAGCTGGGTGGCCTCAGTTTGCCTCATCTGCAGACCAGGCTAGGCTGTAAAACTCTGGACTCCAACTCTGGCATTTCCAAGTGACCCTTTCTCTCTTCCACCCATCTCTGTCACCTGCCTGGCTCCAGTCCCGTAGCCTCTCCCTCTCAGCCCTTTGCATAGCCTCTCCGGGGGGCCCCTATGGGACCCAGGACCCCTGAGCAGGCTCCAGGGCTGGCGGGAGAGCGAGGGCTGTGCTGGCCTGGAATGACCTTTCTCCAGATCCTTGGCATTGAATCCGGTTCAAATCCTTCCTCAGACCTCTGCTCACTCCCTGACCAACCCTGGGCAAGGCGCACCGGCTCTCCGTGTGTTGCTTCTATGAAGAGTTGTAGCCTCGTGGAGCTGTGGGGTCAAACAGGAGACAGAAACTGGGCAGGGAGCTTTGGAAAAGTGGATGAATGCAGGGATGGGTAGATGAAGAATTTCCCATCATTCCCTCTCCAACTTCAGCGTGATCATTACCCTTCTCTTCTGGAGAGTTCTCTAGCCACCCAGGTCACAGTCAAAAAACTACCCATAGCTCAGTTTCCCCATTGGTAACAGTGCCTGCATCACAGAGTTCCGGGGACCAGGAGAGACGGTGGCTGCAGTGGTCTGGACTAGTGGGACCTCCCTCTCCTCGCCCACGGAGGCTGTGCAAACTGGGGCTGCTTGTAGCCAGACAGGTCCCACACCAGAGGAGGTCTCTGAGGTCCAGAGAGGACAGGTGACTTGCTCAGGAACACCCAGGTTCTGGTACCCAAGCCATTCTCCTAGCACCTTATTCACACACACGGATTTGCACACACACTGGTCTCTCCACACGCGTCTCACATCATTCCTCCACACTCCCCTCCTCAGACAGGGACAGAAACTACTCAAGCCCTGGGCTGGACCATGGCAGGTGCCTCCTTTCGTCTTTAATCATCCTCGAAAGCAGCGGCCCAGAGCAGGTGCTCACTTGCCCACCTGCCCGTTGAGACCAGGTGCAGCGTGGAGAGGTGAGCAGCCCAGGGTAGGGACCGTCTTTCTGGGCAACCCAAATCTCTGCCCACCTGGAGGTGCCCTTCCTGCTGCTTCTTACCTCCTCCCCAGCTGCCCTGCTTGCAGGGACAGAGCAGCTGTCCCCAGAAAGCAGCTTAGGCCTAGCCAGGTGACCCCATCCCTGCCACAAAGGTGACCTGGCACTGGGGTACCGATCCTGCTGGAGGAGAGGCTCTGCATCTAACGTCCCTGTCCCCATGCCCCTCCTTCTCCCTGACTTGCACCCGCACTCCCAGGAGACTGCTGGCCCCTTGCTGCACCTGCATCCTGCCACTTCCCACCAGGCACACACTGCTGCCACCTGGGTGCTCGGGCTGCTGGTCCCCCGTCCACCCACATGGGGGAGATTCACATCAGGAGACATCAGTCCTGCTAGCCACCTGAGGGCACGGCAGGGCCCCAGGGGAGACGGGCAGTACCCTGTGGTCCTCTGAAGTCCGAATCAAGAAGGAGCACCGGCACATGGGCCACCACTCCAAGCTGTGCCTTTCTTGTGCATTTACCTAATTGAACCTGTCCCCCGGTGCAGGGGTGCATTGGGGTCCCCACCTCACAGACAGGTTAAATAAACTACTCAGTCAAGGTCACGTAGTCCCCCAGTGCTTTAGAGCTGGATTTACCTGACTCCCAGACTTGCTGGGTAGGAACTGAACCCTGCTCATGCCCACCACAGGGGCCACCAGGTTGACTGGCAGAATGAATGGGTCGGGGGTGAATGATCTGTGCTCAAGCCGTGAGAAGGAAGTGGCACCAAGGCCAGGCTTGGAGAACAGCTGGCGATCTCTGGACAGGAAAGGGAGAAGGGCATTTCAGGCAGAAGGTACAGCACGTACAGGGAGAGAGGTGTGGAGGCATCTGGTGTGTTCTGGAATCCGTAGGAATCTGCGTGTACGTGTGGGTATGTGGTGCGCGGGATAAGGTGGGGCTGAGGAGTTGGCACTGGGTCCCTTTGGGTGGGGAGACTTCACAGGGAAGACAGCAGTCACGGTGGCCCTGTCCTTGGGGTTCAGCCCGGAGGAAGAGGGGAGAAACTTCAAATTCACCCAGCCCTCCACCTGCCTCTCTCTGAATCACTGACAGCCAGGCTCCATGAAAGTTCTAGGGCTAAGCTTTTTCTCCTCCCGCCCCTGGGAGAGAGAGGCTCCATCCCTCTTGTCTGTTTAGCGACTGAAGTGGTACAGTGGCCAGGACCACCACATAGCCTGCTTGCCAGCCATGATCGTAGGGTGCAGGGGGCTGCCTGAAGGCATGACCCAGGCCAGGGCCCAGTGGCACTGCCAGGGGACGGAGCCTTAACCTTCCTTGTGAACACAGCTTAGTGAGACTTAGAAATGGGGGCTGGTGGAGGACAAGAGCCCGGGGTTTCCTCTAGCTGGGCCACCTCCAGGTGACCTTGGGCGGACCCTCGCCGCCTGCGGGTCTGTAAAGCGGGGCGAAGCTGACAGGTGAGCAGAAAGTGTCCTTCGGGCGGGGCCACCTACGTCTCCTGCAGCAGGTGCTTAAGGTACCTTGTGCTGGCCCCTCAAGAGGGAAGAAGGACCCCCAAACGGAGAATCAGGCGCCCCGGGACCGCTCGCTCCCACCCACCCCTCCTGGGATCCCAAGAGCCCTCCCCACTCGCCCTCCCTGGGGGGCAGGAAAACCCGGGAGCGGACGCACGGAGCGGGTTCTGGGAGGAGCGCTCGTGGGGCGCAGAGCAAAACCCGGCCGGGATCTCAGGCGCGGGCGGGGCCACGCAGCCCCCAGCCCGGGCCCCCCATCCCGCCCCGCGCCCCAGGGGAGCCGCTGTGACCCCGGGGCGGCGCAGGGGCCCAGACAGGGCCTGGCCTCGCGGGCCGCCGGGGGCTCCCGGCTGGGGGCGCGCGCGGCTCCGCAGTGGGGCGCGGGTCACGTGTGAGGAGGGGCGAAAGTGTCGCCGCGCGGGGCGGCGTTCGGGAGTTGGGAGTTCTCGGCGCGCCGCGGGCGGCGGGAGCTCGGGCTCCGGGGCAAGCCGGGGTCGGGCAGAGGCGGGGGCCGGGGTCCCAGACAGAGGGGCGCCCCGCGAGGGAGCGGGGACAGGGAAGGACTGAGCAGCAGGGAGACAGGCAGGGACTCGCAGGGCACGGAGGCAGCGCAGAGGCCCGGAGAGGCGCCAGGGACCCGGCTGGGCGACAGCGGCAGAGCCGGGGAGCAGGGCAGCGGAGGGGCGCAGCCAGGGCAGCCAGGAGGGGGCGCGGCGAGGGCGCAGGGGCGGGAGCGGGGAGGCGCCCCCAGGCCAGGTGGCCGCGAGGGTATAGCGCAGCGGGGCGCAGGGTGAGGTGACAGGGACAGCGGCGCGGGCGCGAGCGCGGGCGGCGGGGCGCCCTGGGCCCCGGACCCCGCGCTCCGAGCCCGGGCCGGGCCGACGATGCTGACGCCCCGGCTGCGCCCAGGGTTCGCCGCGGGGCGACGCTGAAAGTTGGGCGCGCGGGGAGCGGCGCGGAGACCGCGGACACACGCGGACCGAGCCGCGCGGCGAGGGGCGCCGGCTCCCCGCTCCCGCAGGACGCCGGGGGATGTAGCGCCGCCCGCGCCTCCGGACACTCGTGGGACTTCTCCGCCCCGCGGTAAGCGTCCGTCCCCGCGCGCGTGTCTGTGCGTCCCGGCCGCCCGCTCCGCCCCTGATACTCGACCCGGGACCGGCTATCCCGCGCGCATTTGGTCCCGTGACTCCCGGAGCCGGTGCGTTGTCCTGTCCAGGTGTCGGTCGGCGGTCGGAGGGTTTTGAGGAGAGCAGAGGAGAGGCGGGGAAGATATCTTGACCTCCTGCCCGGGCCATGACCCTGGGCTGCCTCACCCACCCCCGCGGTCATGCACCAGAGCTTCCAGGCAGCTGACTTGTAGCCGAGTGGAGGGGGGTGGGGGAGGTGGCTCTCTCAGCTCCCCACCTGCAGCTTTTTTGCAAATGGCCCTGGGATTTGACTAAAACATGTTTTCTCGTGTTTTGAGCATCTACTTTGTGCCAGGCAGCCCAGCCAGGGTGGTCAGAGATCCAGCAGACACAGCACCTCTCTTTTTTCACAGGGGTGGAAACAGACTGGAGAGGAAGGGAAGGGCTGCTTTTTTTCTCCCCTTGAAGAGCAGTGTGAGGAGCCCCTGCTTGGTGGGGGAGAACTTGCCGTGCCACCTGCAGAATGTCCCCCACCCGCGCTCGGCCCACCCTGTCCAGACTACCAGAAGGGACAGTGTGGCAGAGGCCAGGGAAGGCAGGTGGCTGGGCTCTGGTGAGGGACAGAGGCCTTAGAGGGACTCACAGGGGGCTGGCCAAAGAACAGAGGGAGGTGTCTGACATCTCTGCTCCCCATCCAGCCCCGTGACCTTCCCGGCTGCAGGCTTCAGGGGTCATTAAGGTCCAGTGTCACGCAGTGGCCCTGGCATGGCCTCTGGTGCCAGGAGCAATGAAGGAATAGGGGAGCTAGGATGGTGATGGTGACAGGGGCTGCTGGCCACTGAGCCAACTGGAGCCCGGAGGCCTCAACCTAGAATGTTCGACTATAGCCTCCACTGGAAGGGAGGACTCTTTCTGGGGTTTTCCACACTGGGCAGCCAGCCTCATGCATCCTCCATGCAGGTGCTCAGAAACATTGCTGGGCAGGTCTTGTTCCTCCCTGAGCCTCAACTTGCACATCTGGGGAATGGGGACATTGCTGTCTGCCCCACTGACCTCCAATGGGCTCTGTGAGCAGGAAGCTGTTCCCAGGATGGGAAAAGCACTGGGCAGATGGGGTGAGGACTCATTTACCTTTAAGGAGATGAATAGCTAAATGGGGTTGGGGGGTAAGGGAAACATGGCTGGGAACAGGGGACTGATCAAAGGCAGGAGGGTCCAGGAGCAGTGATCTGGGACTGGGGGACCATTCCTCATGACTCTTTGGGGTCCCTTGACAAGAGATCTCCTTTCCCTGGGGTGGGGGAACCTTTGAGGTGACCGTGATCACACAGAACTGGCCATGGGTTTCTGCCGAGGTGACCTTGGATAGCTGCTTGGCTTTCCTGAACCTCAGTTTCTTCAGCTAGAGAATGGGGCAGTGACACCGACTCTGTCGAGGTGCTGAGCTGTTTACAGGCTCCGTCTCAGTCCCCGTCGGGGGAGCCCAGAGCACGGCAGGAACGAAGTAGCGCGTAGGGTGCTACGGGAATGAAAGATTCCGGGGCTTTGCATCCGAGGGAAGGAGGAGGAACCGGGCGGGCTCACAGGGCAGGCTGGTTCTTAATGTGGATCTGAGGGAGGCGGGGGCGAATGCTGAGGGGGGTGTGAGGAGGAGGGGGGCCCCCTCTGCGGGGACCACTGAGTCACGAGGACAGGGAAGCAGCATGACAACCAGCAGCCTGGTAACCAGGAAACTAGCGGCAGCGAGCTGGAGCGGTGTGTTGGGGTGGGGGTGGGAGGGCAGCACTGGCAGCCGAGCCTCGGGGGGTCGGGGAGCGGCCAGGCTGAGCCTGGGGGTCCAGCAGGGGAGACTCGGGCCAGGCTGCCCGGAAGCAGCTGGGAGTGCGGCTTGGAAGGAGGGTGGCACCCTGGGGTCTGCAGGGCAGGGGGCTTCTCCGGCACCTCCCCAGACTCCTGTCTTCTCCTCCACATCTCCACTTTTCGTGCCTCTCCCCCTAGGATGCCAAATTTGGCTCACGCAATCTGTCGTCTCTCTTCTGAGATTGGCACTGGGACGCAAGCCGAGCACATTACATCACCGCTCCCCCTGGCGAGGGGAGAGGGAGGGAAGAGGACCAAGGTGGCCGCCAGGGCCAGCGGCCAGCCTGCAACTTTCTTTCCTGTCTTCAGCTTGCCCTTCCCACCTCACTCGCTGGCCCAGAGGCTTCTCAGGTGGCCACGAAAGGCCTAGATGCAGGACAGGGCTCAAGTCCGGGGAGATCCCGGGATCCAGATCTGATGTCAGGCATATGACTGTCCTCCGTCCAGGCTACATGAGGCCTGGGAGGCCGAGGGCCTTGACTTGTCATTGCCTTGCTGAGTGACCTTGGGCAGGTCCCTCCTCCCCCATGCAGAGTTCACAGCTGTCTAGAGAACGCTGGCCACTCAAGGTCTGGGTGACTCCTGCAAAAAGAGGCCTTGAGTGTTCCAGCTCGCCTGGGCCCAGCAGGGGACCCCTGCATTTGGAATCACCCCTTGTGACCTTGAGCGGGTGCAGGGCCCCTCCTTGTGCCTCTGTCTTTTTACCTGTCCAATGGGGATGAGGGGACCCACGCGACAGCCTCTAGTGGGCAGAGAGCAGGGCAAAAAGATGATCACTGGCCCTGAAGCCGCAGACACCTGGAGCCCTCGGCCTCCCAGCAGGCTGGCCAGAGGTGGGTGGGGGACACCCCTGCCATCACCGGGGCTGGGAAGATGGCGTGGGAAGGTGGCTTCATTCAGACAGAGAAGGCCTGGAGCTTCCATCACTGTCTGATGCCTTTATCCTATGGAGGTGAAAAATCATGTCGAGGGGCAAGTGGACCCTCCAGGTCACAGGGATGGTTTAGGGGAGGAGAAGGCAGAGCCAAAGTCCACACCCAGGGTGTCCGGCTCCCAGCTCTGCCTGGACACTTTGTGGGACACTGTGTCGAGCCCTGACAGGGCCTGGAGCTCGAGAGACCGGCTCCGGCTTGACTTCTCCCCCGTCCCCCTGCCCACCGAGGTATAGACCATCGGTTCCACCTCCCTGGGTCTGTTTGAGGAATTCTGAGGCTCCTCTGAGAGCCACTTCAGGCAGTCCCAGCCTGGGGCAGGCTGGATTTGGGGTTAAACTCGAAGGTTAACCCATGCTAGAAAACTCCCCGAGCCAGAGGCAGGGCAGGCTGGGGCGCAGCCCAGGACTATTGAAGTAGAACCAGGGAGCCCTAGCTCTAACCCTTGTGACTCCTACTCTATGTGGGGCTCAATGGTACCCCCACATTCAAAATCCCAGGTGCTTGGGGCTGGGGATTTAGCTTAGCGGCATAAGCGCCTGCCTTGCAAGCAGGCAGTCGTGAGTTCAATCCCCGGTACCGATAAAAAGCGAAAAAAAAAAAAAAAAAAAAAAAAATCCCAGGTGCTCTTGATATTTCCCAAGGAGGCCTTGGGAAGTGGTACCCAGCCTTACCTGCCTGCTTCCCATCTAGGGAACTTGCTTTGCTTTAGCAGGCGCTGGGCCGAGAACTTTCACAAATTTTCATTTAATCCTCCCAGCACCTCTGCAATGTTGGATTAAAACAGCGACCGATTTAAAAAAAAAAAAAAAACAAAAAACAGCGACCAATGGAGACACCAGGGCCCAGACAGTCTGTGTGATTTGTCTGGGGTCACACAGCATGGAAAGGTATCGGGGCTTGGGTTTGAGTTTAGATCAGGCTGACTCTCTTGGGGGCTGTCTTTGGGGCTTCCCTGGGAAAAAGGTGGAAAACATCCCTCCCTTGGGATGGGGCTTGGCTGCCCTCACAGCATGACCCCCTTGAGGATTCTCTGGCCAGGGCCAGGGAGGGACCTGTGAGCTGTCAGTGGCATGGGATGTGGCACTGGGATGGTACGGAAAGCAGAGGGAGTCCTGGCTCAGGGTAGGGCTCAGGAGGAAGCCTGGTTCAAAGAACAGGGAGAAACCACCAGGGAGCCCAGTGGTCACCTCTGTCCTTGCCCTGCTTGGGGACCACCCGCCAATGTCAGTGTCACTTGAAAGACAGTGGGAACTGCCTGGCAAGAGGCAGACTTGGCCGTGGCTCTGTGTGACCCCAGGCAGGCAGTCACCCTCTCTGAGCTTGGTCTGCCCATCCAAGTGCCAGAGAATCTGCACCCAAAGATCGGTTTCCACCAAGGAGCTGCCATTGGGCAGTGATGGGAAAAAGCTCCTCCCACCCTCACGGACCGGGCCGTGGCAAGGGGCGGGCAGGAATCCTGGAGGCTGGCACAACCTTTCCGCCTCCTGGCGGCCTCAGCCCTCCTCGGGGTGGGGGGGGATCTCCAGACTCAGCCCTTCTTCTCCTTTTCGGCTTTATTTTTCTCCTGCTCCCTCTTCCCCTCGCTACGTGGGCTGATCGCTGCTCAAACTTTTAATTCAGATGGTAATTGAAATAATAATATGGGCTGAGGCCCCTCTGCTTGTGACGCTGCAGCTGGTGGAGCTCAGCTATGAATAGCGTTTGAGTCACACACGCGCGCTCCTGCGGGCGCACGCGCGCTGGGCGCAGGGGGCGGTGGGTGGGGTGCGGCGTGGGGGGCAGGGGGCTCACGTTCCGTTAAAATCTAGGTCCTGCCCCAACTTCTCCCCAAGGCCTCAGTCCACGCTGCCCTTGTGGGGACCCTGGAAGACGGGGGGGGGGGGGCCTGGGTGGTTCTTAGTTACAGAAGGGGAAACTGAGGCTCAGCAAGGGGGAGTGGCTGTTGAAGACAGGTGAGAACGTGTCTGGGACTAGATGCGAACAGGTGGGTTTTGCCTAAGTTTAGATCATGCTTCTCTCTCCGGACACACAAGACAGGGAAATGGAGGGGTGCTGGGGTTTGGCTACTTCTGGTCCCCATCCTGAGCCTCCTCTAGAAGTGTGGGCACGCATGCTTCCCACAGACCCATAGGGCTGCGGGTACTATTGCTCGGTGCCTTGG